TCACATTTATCATAACAGCGAAAAAGAAGCTAAGTACCCAATGCCTGTATCTCTAGTGGAATGCACATATGCCTTTCTAGCTTACGTTAATCTGGTTTTGTGGAAGTTGAAGTATTAAAACAGATTGTTAATGCTTCCATCTGGGTCCTATTCTTTCCTTGTGAATGAGCTGAACATTGCAGCAATTTGTTTGTATTTACTGCCTTTCTCCTCAACCTTATCACTAGCCCTCAGATAGCTCAGGGAAAGAAAAAGCTTATCCAAACTTGAGGGCTGCACAGTGCTGAGAAAGCAGGCAGCACACTAAGACCCTGGCAGCTTGTTGCATTTGCATCCCTGTGGGGTTTTTCTTTCTGTCTTACCATTTTCATTTTTTGTAATAAGCAATAAAAAGAATTGATGATTCAGTGTGGGATGCAGGAGACTCACAGAAACTGGAATTGAGATGTCTCAACTCACCAGAAATTGGCTTTAAGCACAAAAATACGAGTGTTTAGAAAGGAGCAAAATACCTCTTAAATGAACTTACACAGAGATGATACAAGATTGCAATGGGCACATGCAGAGTGTTAAGCATATTTGATATCTTACTTTTTCTTACAGATAAGCTGTTCTCAATACTTCTTTTTTTGCAAAGCTAAGCAGTGGCACTATATAGGTAACGATTATGGGCTACTCCAATGAATGCACAAAGATAATTTCATTTCTCTGAGTAGTACCAGTGACTACAATGGCACTATTGCCATGTGTAAAGTTAGCCTGGAGCATAAGTGTGAGTGAAATTGAACTGTGATAATGATTGAATATATATACTTCATCTCTTGCAAAAAGGTATCACATAACAGAAATACGAAAGCTTGGTGTAGATCTTCTGTTCTGGAAGAGCAGTTACGGATTGTCTTGAAAAGTGGGTGTGAAATCTACATATAATCCAGCATTGCAAAGCAAAAGAACTGGAAATGTAAGTTATGGTTATGAAAATCTTTCATCTGAGGCTTTCAAAGCACTCAGTGCTTAAGTGAGCATTACGTATTCTTGCAGAAAGGTACTGTTAGGTGCTGTCACGTGGAGCACTGAGATTATCAATGACTGGTCAAGGATCATGCAATGAAATAATGAACATTTGCAACTCTTAATACTCTCCTTAACCATGAGGAATTATTTGTCCTAATGCTCAGTGCTGGTCATAGGCCGCAGGATGGGCTCTGTCTGTGGCCAACACAAACTTTGTTGGCCAGTTCTACCTTCTGCCTGGAAGAACGAGAAGGGTATAGCTGTTCCTAGAAAAGTCAAGACTATGCTAAGGAAACAGGAGATACTGTCTATTAATATAACTGGATTGGTCTCTGCAAAGAGAATATCTTCAGGAGATTTGGAATAGAACACTCTTTTGCTCTTTTCTGTCTTCTGTCTCTTACTCTGCTTCCCAAAATCGAGATCCCTGTAGGTATGTTTATTCCATTCTGAGGATGTGAGACATCTCCATCAGAAGCACTTCTACACTAGCATAAATGGAGTTTCCTTTGGGAGACCATATTGCATAATTTATAATTAATAAACCAATGGTGAGGAATTTAAACTTGAAAATAATTGTGTCAAGATATGTGATTATTTTAAGACATTTCTGTGATTGTAGGGAAGTAGTTTATTGCTATGTTTCTGAGTCAATTGTGGACAGACTGTGCTAAGCATGGTATTAAAATGATGATGAACTAAAGGGAATTCACCTCAGCTGCTGCTGAAGGAACTCCTTTTCCTTGTACTCCACTAGAGGACCAGAGTACTGTTGAGCCAGGCTCTCTCTGCCCAATAACAGCAGGCTACAAATACCCCACATCCAAATCAGTGAGTGAAATCTGTGAAGAATCCCTCTGCCAAAGGAAAAAGCAGGAGTTATTTTTCCTTTAAAATCTGTGTGAGGACAATGTGGGGAAAGATCAGCTTGCAGATGTATTTGTAAAGCCTCTCAGAGAGGACTTTGTTGGGTTGGCTGTACCAGCAGACCTTTGCAGTGCGTGATGCGTGTGCCAAGCTCTCAGAAGTGGCCTGTCCCACGTGCCACTAGGTGGCACTTTAGGGACATGGCAGGCACTTGGTTTCCTTCATTATGCAGGAGCTGCAGCACCAGAACTAGGGCTTTTTGGGTTTTTGGGTTTGGTGTTTTTTTGGGGGGGGATGATGGGGGAAGGGGGTGAGGGTCGGTCGGATGTAGCTATTTCTTTATTTTTACCAGCCCCTGCACCACTGGCTGCTGAGCTTTCTCTTCCTCATGTCCTGACAGCAGTGTCCAGCCCAGTGACCACAGCCAGCATGTGCCACAGCCCTAAGCATGGGCTGCAGGCTGTCCCTGACAGACACATCACAGCACTCAGCTTGCAGAATACGTCTTGCTCTCACAGATTGTGAAATCTTACCCTTTTTGACATTTTCACTGTGTTTTATATTTGCTTTCACGAGAACACCAGGTTTACCCTTTCTTTCCTTTTTCAGCTCCCTTTGGTTTAAAACAGTATTCTCCTGCAATGAGACCATTAAAAAAAGAAAAAAAAAGAAGAACGAAAAAAAGAGAGAGTGGTTCTGCAAAAGTTTGGGCTCTGTTTTTTAAAAAAATTTCTTTCCTCTCTAGGCCCCTTATCTGACAGTGATTTCAGTTCTGATTATTTGAAACAGACATCTTGGAATAACAGTCTGTTCAGTTACTTCTACACTGTTTGAACATACTAATTCTGCAAAAGCTGCATTTTTTTATCTGTACATAAATAACATGGAGTTGGTCGGTTGTTTTGTATTTTTTATTCCTCTTCGTACTGTGGACTAAGTTAATATATGCTTGCTTTTGATGCAAGGTTTAGTGTAGACTCCAATAAGAGTGTGAGCACCAGAAACTGCCTGCCTAGCTAGATTAAGGCAGGTATCTAGTGCTCTCTGTCACTAAAATGTCATTGAAAGCTGTCTTTCCTGTACCCTGGCACTGTTCTGTGCAGCAAAGCTATACTGTGAGGACTTTATAGTGTGTGTATCTGTGGTCTCTCTGAAGAGCTGAGTTTACACTTACTGTCCTTAAATGAATGAATGGGTTGTCAAATTGATGTGGTCTAAACTTACTGTGTGGTTCTATTCATTATTTGAGCTTTGCCATCCCCAAATTATTCATGAAACCCTTGTGGATTTTGCCAGGCTACTGTTAACAGTGCTTAGAGCCTTAAAGGTTATGGGCTATTCAGCTTGCTGATAAAGAAATATTCTGTTGCATTCAGGACTTTTAAAGGTCTTTGATTTTTATAGGCGCACAAAAAAATTGCTTTTTTCCATTTCACTCTATTTGACCAGAAATCTACATTTACAGAGGAAGCGCTTCAATATATAAAAAGCTTTTCAAAATTCAAATGTTAGCATCCATCAGTTAATTTTTTTTTTTTTTAAATTGAGATATTCATATTCAAATACTGGAAATATTACAGTGCGAGGGGCTCTTTGGAGTTTTTTAACCATCAAGTAACACGACAGATGTAGCACACTTAAAAAGGGTTGGAGAGAAGATGTTAGACACAAATCTTGTCAGTCCCTCTCTTCCCTCTCTCCTGAGGAATTTCACATGCATTTTAAAGAAACTAATTTCAAAACTTCCATCTCTGTGCACTTGTTTGATATTGTATGGTTGGAGAAGAGCAGTGCCACAGAACCACATTTCCCTGACCCTTTCTGTACAGCTCTTATTGTGTCTGTTATGGAAAAAGTAAAAATAGTATGGAAAAGTTCTTCCTTTTTAAATATACCAAATTCAGTGCTTTCTGTTGTTTTTATTTAACTTACACTTAAGCACTTGGAAACTTGACTGCTACAGAGCTTGGTGGGCCTATGCAGAAACCTCTTGGCAACAGTGAGTTAGGTTCTTTGGTGTGCAACAAATGGTTATTATGGCTAAAATCCTGGCCCCTTAAAAGTCTGAGGTTTGCCCTATGCTTGGTTTTAAACACAGGCTTTCACCTGTGTAGAAATGAGCTTCCTTTGAGGAGGGAAGAGGATTGCAGGTTGCCCCTGCTGCCTGGGGACCATTGCCAGCCTGACTCCAACCTGGCAGAAGCTGGGAAAGAGGAGGAGAGGCTGTCTGTCAGTGCCAATTGGCCCCAACCTCCTGCTCCTGCCTGCCTTCCCCATCTTAGAGAGGCAGCCCATTCCTTCTGGACAGAAAACAGCCACACCATGTTTATAATATGGTATTTGCTGCTGTGCACCTGGGGACAGGCAGTTCTAAATCCTGCCACCCTCCCTGATGCTGTGCCCTGTCCCGGTGGAGGAAATCAAAAGGTGCCAAAAACTTTAATGAGAGGCAAAGCAAAGGATTAACCCTCTGCTTTCATTTGCTTCTCAGTCAGATATTTTTGGAATCAGGTGTTTCGTTTTGCAGATGTGTAGATCTGGGTGGTGAGTTTTCAGCTGGGTTTCTGTTTGAAATGTGAGAAGGGAGGAGGGAAGACTTGTCTGCTTTTTTATGATTCGTGTTTTCAGTAACTTTGCTGGAATTTTTGGTATGATTCTAGCATTCTCACTCCAGCCTCACAAACTTCAAAGACAGAGGCTTACTCCTATGAATTTTCATTGGCTTCAGGTGATAATAAGGTGACAGGGCATATCCAAGATCTTTCTAGGTTTTTTTCCACTCTCTTAGTTTTTTTCAGAGTATTTAGGATATAATGGTAATTCTTGAAGAAATTCTGTGTACTAGATTGTTTACATTCAGAGACATGGTTCCTAATGCTTCACTAAAAAAACTTTTCTCCCGTTTTCCCAGCGCAATGAAATGCAAGAATATGGTTTCACTAAAAATCTGCAAAAGATGTATGTCATCCATTCAGCTGTCAACCTAGATCTCCATTTTCCCTACTGTTGAATTGTTAAAGTAACTTTTCTTTTGTGTTTAACTTTTCCTTTCATTGACTTTATTGCATGTGACTGCTAGTCATTTTCTGGGTGTAGCAATGACTGATTTGTTGTTGCAGACAGAGCAACCATCTGAGGTTGAATTACACCCTCAGATGAACAGACCCCCATCGCAGGCAGAAGAAAACAGTTCAGCAAAAAAGGTGAGATCTGCACACATTGTACCATTATGGAGTGATTTGCCTTCATCAACAAACATGGTTATTTTAAGTTTAAAAGCAATTAAACTGAGGGTTAGGGTTATGTTTTTACGTGTTTACCTTCTCTGGAGGTCAAGACACTGGAGAGAACTGTGATCATATGTGACATCAACTAGGATAAATCATTAAGAAACCTCTTGGTATGTACACATTGATGCACGTGCTTTGAGGGAGGCAGCTTGCCATTTATTTCAAATCAATAGGGGCTTGTGGAGCCTTAGGGAAAACAAAAAGAGTTTGATTGTACTCCAGCCCTGTCTCACTGTAGTTCCTCCAAATTGTGATGCATTTCTTGGTTTCAGTTATTGAAGATTTGATTCTGATGTAAATACATCTGTTTGCTAGAGGTGAGGATCTGCCACTAAATGTACATAGACTGGGAGAGATTTGCTCAAGATGTGCAGTTTCTAATATGTTTTTGTATGAACCTATAATTTGTAAAATTAAGCACTGAAATTAAAATGGCACACTTTGAAGTCCCTTGCTTAGGGATGGAGTGGCCTTAGCAGTGGCTGTGAGCATTTTCCCTCTCCTGGTCATGCTCTGACCACCTCCTTCCACCACCCCCAGCCAGAACAGGTTTGGATAGGGGCAAATATAGATCCTCCCCATTCTGGCCCCTCCTGCAGCCAAACAGCACCTGCAAGACATTTACTGAGCCCAGTCAAGAGCTTTTGCCACGTGCTGGATGTGCCATGCTCAGGGAGCACCATCACACTTCTTAGTGTAACAGGCTGTTACAGTGTCATCATTTTCTGTATGTGACAGGGCTTTCTGGGCAGTGTCCTTGCTCTGCTTGTGCTCATCATATGCTACTTCTAGCCTGGCCCTGCTTTTCCCTTGCTCTGCTTTGTAGCCCTGCTGGGGAAATGAAGTCCTTGTGGTCCACCTCCTTCATGCTCACCCTCATCCCACCTGGTTCCCTAAATTGCAGCGAAGCCCCAGGCTGTGGGAGGCTGGTGGTTGTTGTGCTGTTGACCCACCTTCCAAAGCCTGCTGCAGCAGCAGCCAGCCAAAGAGCCCCTGCCAAGGGATCTGCTGGGACCATTGCTTACAGCGCTGTGGTTTGAAGGGAGGAGGGATTTATCCTGTGGTTTTAGTAGGGTTTGGGCAGTTTAAGGTAGACTGGGATTGTGTGTTTGGCACTGTAGTTGTGGAGGTGTGTTTGCAGGGAGCTGTGTCTGTGCAGAGGATTTCAGAACATGGCATTACCAGAGATCTGTGCACTCCTGATGTGCTGATATCCTGATCAGAACATCTGATAATATTTTTAGATGTTTTCAGTAATTACAGAACTGGTTTTTAATGTTTAAACCTTTTTCCCTATAATTCAAATTATTTTAATAATTGCAGCCCTTCTAATATGATCTAATAAGATCATGATTGATGATCTTATATTGGTTACATTTTGTATCACTCATAGTAGTCTCCTGTGAGTCAGGCTGCTTACTACAGTGTTGTTTCTTTTCCCTTGTAATTGCTTTGTCATAAAATGTTTCCCCATTAATTTTTTTTTTTCTTATTTTATTAACGTTTGGTGAAAACATAGGTAGTGAAGGTAATCTAGCCCAGTAAAATGTGTGATATTGAAATTTGGTCTTTGGTTTTGTCTTTGATGCTGAAAAAACATGTCTCAAGTCAGTTCAACTTTTTGAGTCCTGGCTTTCTCATTCATGAAATGAGGCAGTAATAGTTATATCTCTTGTAAAATAGATCTAATAGTAAAACACACTGAAGAGAATATGTTTATGTTTGTAATTTAAATCAGCTATAAGGTGGTAAAATTACTTCTCATTGCAAAAGAAAGGGTGTCTTAATTTATAATGATGAAAACACTTCTTACCACTGAAGTCATAAAAATCCAAGACTCTGCTCTACCTAGAAAACCCAGACTATTTCTTTGCTGTAACTTATCAAGAGAAATAGCTGGCCTTCTCTACTTCAACACATTAATTTTGCATGGATAATTTCATGTATTTGTATTTCAAAACTGTATTCAGTGTTTTTTCATGTAAGAGAGCAGGGGAGAAGGGAGAGGCTCCATGCCAGATGTGTGAGGCAGTAAGTTGGAATTCAAGTGATTGATTATTGATTCTGTCCAACTGAGCATAGTCAAAAATAAATCTTCCTCTGTTTTTAATGCTTTTGGGTCAACCAGGGGCTAGTACATGTGTTTATACCCCTGCCTCCACCTCCACCCCATGCACACTAAGCTATAAAACCAGTTATGAAGAGCCTGTTGTCCAGATGAAGGCAAAATACCCTTTCATTCATGAAGGGGTTGCAGGAGTTACTGTTCCTTTTTCAAAGTCAGAAACCTGAGAAGCTATTACCAAATTGGAATTAAGCTCTGCACATCTTTAAATTATGAAATCTTTAACCAGCTGTCAGCAATTTATGTGTCACAAGTATTCTCCAGCCTAATGATGGGGCACATATGGCCTGACTTAATGTTGCTGTGTTTTTTCCTTTCAGGAGGTTGTTCTTGCTCAACCACCCTCCAAACCCGCCCGCAGGAAGCTCCGGACAGAGGCACAAGGGCTGGAGACCCCTGAGCTTTCTCCCACTATAAATGTGACTTCATCCCTGCCAGCAGTCAAGCCTCACCTCCCAGTCCAAAAGTAAAAACCTGTACCAAGCATGTCAAATTGCAATATGAGATCTGATATAGCAGGATTTGCTCTTTGTGTAATTTTGTGTTTAATAGCTCTCTTTCTGAGAATGCTTCACAAGGTACAGGTCTCCAAAATCTACATCAGTCTTCTCAAATGCAGACTAAGCCTGTAGTGACTGTCAGTGGTATTTTATAAGTAGATAACCTCTTCAAAGGTGTTCTACTTCTGTACCTGGTAGACATGTATGAGGAGCAAGCCTAGCTGTTCAACCATCTCTAACACCAGCATCTCTAACACAGCCTCATTTATATGTGACAATGTGTGTTTTCGCCTTTCCTTTCTGGAATTTTGCCTCAATTTTCATGGGAACAGATATGACCACATAAATGCCCAGGAAGCTGAGTCATGAAAGGCTTGATGTTGGTCATATGATATTTCTTCTTTGCAAGGCATGTTAGAAATGAGCTTGCCACTGGTGGGAGATGAGCCACAGACCACTTGTAGTCCGTCCGATAATGGCCAAACCCAAGGTGTGTTGTTTGCTCTCGTAAATACAGCTGTCAAAGCTGTCAGCAACAAAGACTTGTAGGGATTTCACTCAATGTATGTTTAATAGTGGTGGAGAAGGGGCTGTACAGATGGCAAGTGAAGGCACTGAAACCCTATTGGGGTCTGTGCAGCTCCCTCAGCTGAAGCACTGTGCAAACATTACACCTCACCGTCACCCAGGGCCTTGCAAAAGACATCTGATTCAGTCTGAAACAAAATCAAGCTGCCCAAATCAACTGAGCGTTTCTTGGCAGACTGTTTATCAGTAGACTGAATCTGTGCTGCATAATTGGAGATTAGAATAAGTAATAAGAGTCCTAGGATGCTCTTGAAGTACTATTTTGTGCTTTGGGAGTGCATATTCCATAGTGGTTCAAAGATAACAGCATTTGTTAACATCTCAATCCTGTCTTGTCTATATTTCTCCTAGAATGTTAAAATGGCCACAGACATATATTGCTTTTATTTTTTTTCCTACAATTTATTACTTTATAGCCTATGGAGAGTAGTTTGCAGGAAAATAGTGAAGCAGAAAACTGACAGTCCACTGGAAGATAACAGCACAAAGTCCTGTCACTGTGCTGCGTGTCTATTGCAAAAATCAGTGTCATCAGCTCTGTTAAGAGAAAAGGGCTAATGAGGACTGTGTGCCACTGGACCTTATTTAAATAGGGCATGTGTTTTAGATACAATCTGGTGTTAAAGAGTTCTTGTTTCCTCATGTGAAACTTTAAAATAATCTGTTTGGAAAGGGACTTGGATATTCAGTCAGTATTTTCTGTGTTTTCTTTCTTTTTTGCTGTTATCTGTCTTGCTTTGAATAGGTTGGTCCTTATGTACAGCTGTCTCCTTTTATACCTGTCCACATAGCTATTATTTCCTCCAGATCACTTACCACAGCCTATGAGGCAATAAAAATTCTTAATTAACAAAACAAGTTCTTAAAATAAAAAAGGTACATCCTTTATTTTAGCAGCAAAAGAGTTGACGGAAGCCAATCAGTCACCTTCCTGTTTGTGATGTCACATGGTTTTGGTGGAAATGACTGTTTTGGATAAAAGAAGTATTAATTTCTGAAGTAAAGAAACATCAGAATTATCAAAACTTTGAGACAGAATTTTCATGCCAATGTCCTTTCTTTCAGTATGGAATGGTTTTTGTGTTTTCTGTTAACTACTCCTGACTATTTAAACTCTACAAGTCTCTGAAAACAGCTAATGCAAAGATGCTGCAATAAGCACAGCTGTGCAGGGATCATTCTTAAACTCAGTGAGAATGCAGTGATTGTGAAATGATTGATATGGCCTAAATTATTTCTGTCATTCAGGTTAAGAAGTTTCAAATATTCCACCTGATTCAGCCATCTCATTTCAGTGTTACATTTTTCTTCTTTTAAATCTGTTGTTTGTACCATGTCTTTGAAGTGTAGTCCAGGGTGCATAAAGTTAGGCAAAATGGGTGGCTGTTCTTCTGGCATCAGCCAGTGCTGAGACTCTCAATTGAAATGTCTTGTATCTATCTGTCTGGCAGACAGTCTTCCAAGCAGAAAAGGGCTATTCAGACCGCTATACGAAAAAACAAAGAAGCCAATGCTGTGCTCGCCAGGTTGAACAGTGAGCTCCAGCAGCAGCTGAAGGTAAGGAGTGCATTGAATATCAGTGACAAAGCTCCCTGCAGTCAGTTACACCTCCAGCAGTATTAAAATCAGAGCAAAATATAGGACAGTAATTGAAATAAGCACAGATATGAAAGCTTTTAATGAGAGCACATTGCCATCATTCCTTGGGTCAGGTCTTGTTTGTTTCCATCTTCAGCAGGCCAGTACTGTTACCTGTGCTTTGCAGTAGGAAAAGACAGATAAGTTTGTCTAAGTTCACAGAGGAGAACTGAACTTGTCCTTCGAGTTATATTGCAGTCTGGAAGCTTTCTGATAGAGCAGAGCTCTGCTGTTTTTATGGAGACCAGAAGACTTGATGGGTACTTCTCAGGCACATCTTGCCCTGAGGCTGAGGGCTCGAGTGCACTCGCACTCTGGGGCTCTGAGCCTGCCCAAATGGGAACCTGGAGGAGCTGCAGTCCAGCCCAGCTCCACACTGGCAGGGAGCCCCCTCATGGGAGGTCAGCAAGAGCCTGCCTGGCTGCCCTTTCCTGGAGCAGGGTGGTGGATGTGAGCATCCCAGGAGTTCTAACACACCTCTCCTCCTGCAGGAGGTTCACAAGGAACGCATTGCCTTGGAAACGCAGCTGGAGCAGCTACGTCCTGTCACCGTCTTGTGACTGCCCACACGGCCGAGCAGAGCAGTGTCCAGCAGCCCTGCAAGGAGAGTTCTGTGCAGCTGAGCAGGGTCTCTGCCAAGGCAGTGGGGAGGACTGGCCTTGCCGGGTCTCTCTTCACCCCATTTATGCACATTTTGCCTTTGCAGGTGAGGAAGGTACAGAACCAAATACCTGACTATGGAATATTTCTGAGTGGGGGATGCTTTGCCTTTTTTCCTCCCCCTTCCTAGCCTAATGTGTAAATGCAGTTTATCACTGAAATGAATAACCTGAGAGTATTTTATTTATGTAAAGAATTCCTGATTTATATGCGTTTTGGCAGCACCTCCTGCCCCGATCATTAAGAGGTACAGAGTTCCTGAGTTCTTGCTTAAATTGAAAATTCATCCTCTGAGATGTGCTTCTGGATGTTACTGATTCCTGTAGGATTGTATCATTGTAGAGTACCTGTGGATTTAACATACCATAGGAATAGAACTTGTGAGATGTACAGAATCTTTATCCTTAATCACATGTCAAATAATTATTTTCTTAGTACTGTTTATTATGCAATCACGAATGTATTTTAATGTTAGATAACTTGTATTTTATTAGTTCAAGTCATATAAGAGAACAGTAAAAAATACTAAAATATAATTATTTTGGAAATTAGGAAAAAAATCTTTTTGAGCTACAGCTGTTTCTAATCACCAGTATTTGAGCACTTGCTTGCAACTACCAGTGTCTCTGCATTCTTTTAGCATGTTTGAGATGACTGGTGTATAGCTTTTTTCTTTTCTTTTTCATCTTTAACCAGTAGTGTACTTCTAACAAGAGGTTAAAAATGCATTCAGGGCATTTTTATAAAACCTATTCTATGTACATTCTTATTAGTCTGCTTTGTTGTCTTAATAGCTGATGGTATGTTTTAAGGATGTGTACAAGAATTGTACTTCCAGAAGAGGGAAGATAGTAGAAGTGCTATGTGTGAGGCTATAAAATGTGAGATGGAAGTAATTGCCTTTTGCAGCAGGCTTTTGTTAAGGTTCCTTTGCACATCAGTGGAGATGCTCCTGGTAGGAGAAAGCTGCTAATGCCCAACTATTTTCTAAATGAGGAAGCAAAGATTAATCTTTAACCTGCATTCGATCCATGGATGCAGTGGTTGGTGGCCTTGGTCTCAGTTCTTACAGTGGAAGCTGGTTAATGAATGTTGCTGTATTTCTTGGGGCAATACTCCTGGACTGAGTGACTTCAGACATAAAGATGTCAACCCTGCTCCCACCATGGCTATGGTGTGCTTTACTGGAAGGGGATGTCACCTACCTGTTGTCCACCTTAAACACGACCCTGCACGTGTCTCACTGCCCTGATTTAAGTGTATGTGGTCGCCTTGCAGAAACGGTGCAGTAATTTTGTCACCCTTGTGGGTGTGATGCTTGCTTGCTCCCTGTGGCTGTAGGACGGTCCTGGGGCCAAGAGGGAGGAGAAGCAGGTTTGAATCAGCTGGGTAACCTCTCCTTGGAGCATCATGGAATGGCTGCCATGGCATATCACAGGGCACCAGAGCAGCCAAAAATTGAGAGATAGGAAAGGCATCACTGGGAGTGCTTAAAGTGGTAAGGAAACAATCTACTTTTGCTGAAAGGTATGTGGAAGGGGGACGTGAATCCAGAAGTCTGCAGGTGAAAATAAGCAATTGCAGAATTGTTACTAAAAGTCTGTTTTTGTAATGCACTGTTTTTGATTCAACTAAAGATCACTGTGCCAACAAGCAACAACTGTTCTTCTGGATTTGGGACTTATGTGGCTGCTGCATAGCTGAGGTCAGTCAGGTGGTCATTCCTCATCAGTGACAAAATGCGAGGAATGCAAGCTTTTCTGAGAATCTGCAAAAGAGCCTCCACCCTCTTGCTAATAGTGGTATTGCTGAGAATTTATCATCGTTTACTTCATTTGTTCATAATACTGCTGAGTCATTCCTAAGATTTAATGAGGTTAAGTGGTGGCCCTGTTTGCTTTTTTAGTTCATACATTGTTATTTGGTTAATATGCCCGTACTATTTCATAGGAAATAATCATATGGCACACTTATTTTTTCTTTAATGGGTGATTTTTAAGGAAGGCTTTTAAATGATTACAAGGAAGTGTGCACGTTGCATTTTTAAGGCAGTGGAGGACTTTTTCATGTTTGATAGGAGCTTCCTTTGAAATAATCTCTCATTTATTTCACCTGAGTTATTCATGGAATATATGCTGTTCAAGGGAAGAGTGGAAGAGTCTGCTTTATACTGTTGTTTTTTGAAATGTCTCCCTTCTAAGATCCAGGAGTTTTTTTCATTTACTGGAAATTATGATACTTGCTTAGCCAACAATGAAATACTTGCTTGGCTGTTATTTTACCACTGGATTAATTAATAAAAGTATCTAATAATCTCTGCATTTTTAGCATTGCAATCAAATGCCTTCAATGACTAGAATGTGAGTTGCTTTGTATTCTTTTTGGTGAAATGTCAGCCATGATGATGATACACCACACATTGGTAAAGAGAAATATCAAGGAGAGGTGTCGATCTGTTATACATATGATGCAGGAGGTTACTCTTCTGTGTGTCTCAATGGATAAGCATTTATGATAGCCCACACAAAGTGAAAAAAAAGTGTGTGTTCTTGGGAAGCTGTTAGCATTTTGAGGAGAGGAGAAGGCATCATGAAGCAGACAGTGCTTCTGGCAGTTGCTCCACGCAGCCATGCTCATGGCTACTGTTAACAGGCCCTGGCTGCTCCACATTCACATCTAAAGCCAGTATTACAGATTTTCTTCAAAACTACTTTTTCTTTAGAAAAATGTGGGTGGAGCAAAATCATCATTTCTTGCAGAACTTTCTTAAACTTTGGATGGGAGATGCTCCTACACCTAAAAGCATTTGGTCAGCAAGGGAGACCTCACAGTCTTAATGTTCAGAGTACTTTCCTGACCTACAGGTGAGTGATCAGCTTTAAGCCCCTGACATCCCTGACCCAGAACAGCAACTAAGGTCTGCCTGCCCCAGCTGCCAGCCTGATGGAGTGGGATCACATTCCCATGCATGAGCTCTCACTGTCCTCAGTTTGTGGTTTCTGTGGGTACTTGAGCAGAGCACAACATGCTCAGTAAGAGAGGATAAATGGGAACAGGTGCACAGCATCTTTGCATCTGACAGGATGTGCTGGCCATGAGCCATCAAGTCTTCAGTGGGCAAATAAATATTGTTGTCTGCAGGACAGGGCTAGGCAGAGCAGATAAGGATCTTCCTCAGTGTGTGTGTAAGTGTGCACTCATGTGTATTCCTTTTGTTCATGCATTTCTTTGTTGGGTCTGTTAACTTTCATATCACCTGATACCTATATTTGTTTCAATCTATGGTAATTCCACGGTGAAAAAAGAAAAATGCCAGCTAAGTATAGTGACTGATTGCCTTTGTAGATAAGCCATTTTTATTTGAGCCTTCCAAAATAAATACTGACCTGGTAATTAAGCAAGGCAAACAGTTTCCATTTCTGAGGCATTCTTTTATTAAACAAACTACCTGTGAACACACATTAATTCTTAAGGATCAATGTCCTTCTAGTTATTAATATTATACTAGGGTGCAGTGGAAACATTACCAGTTCTATCCAGAAAATCCTCAGTTCTCCCTTCCAGAGAGTTATGGTGATGTAACAAAAGTGTGTTTCGTCAAGGCAGCCATGTTACTGGTACATAGTTGGATATCCTGACAAAGTCAAAATATTATCTTCAGACTGCATGGCAGTAGTTTTCCTGATGGAAATTCCATATCCACGTCAGGGAATTTGTTTGGCTGTCATCCAGATAGTTCCTGCTTGACAGATGATCAGAGGGCTGGAGCACCTCTCCTATGAAGACAGGCTGAGTTCAGGTTGTTCAGACTGGAGAAGAGAAGGCTCTGGAGAGACCCTGTAGCACCTTTCAGTACCTAAAGAGGCTACAGGAGAGCTGGAGAGGGACTTTTTATAAGAGAATGCAGTGATAGGCCAGGGGGGAATGGTTTCAAACTGAAAGAAGGCAGGTTTGGATTAGATATAAGGAGGAAACTCTTGACTGTGAAGGTGGTGAGACACTGGAAGAGGTTGCCAGAGAAACTGTGGCTGCCCCATCCCTTGAAGTGTTCAGGGCCAGGTTGGATGGGCCTTTGAGCAACCTGAATAGTGAAAGGTGTCCCTGTCCACAGCAGGGGGGGTTGGAACTAGGTGATGTTTATGGTCCCTTCAAATCCAAACCAGTCTGTGATTCTACAACTCTGCCAAGGCTAGCCAGCATAGGGTGATGAGGCTGTGCATGGTAAAACGACCACAAAGAGATGGTTGGGATTTGGAAACCTTCACAGGAAGCATTTAGGATGGGCATAATGTGAAAGTTGCCTGTTGGTGATGCATAGGTTGCTTTCCTCCCAGCTGAGCTTCCAAACCAGGAGGAAGAAATCCTGTAAAAGTTGCTATCTGGGAAAGGAGGGATGTCTATTTTTCGTCAGCCTTTCAGTGTTCAGCATACAGTCCTTGACAAGAAAATACATGAGTTCATGAAGCAACATATTTTACCGACTAAAGAGTAAAGTATTTTTTTCAGGAAAAAAAGTAAATCTTAGTGATTTCATATCTTTGAAAAGAGATGATGTATTTTGAAGCTTTTTTCAGCTATCTTGATATGTGCTATGAACATATGCGTTATGTTTTACTCTGTTACTGATTTTTTGATATAAAAAAGTTGTATTGCAAGTGTTATGGTTGTTAATCTAAAACAATACCCCAAGGCTATTATATATCTCAATTTTAACTTATAAATTAGATAGCCAGATTTAAGTAATTTGTTTTCACAGCTGCAGACTGTCCCCATGGTAAGCTGCAAAATGTATAGTGTTCTATACTATGCCCATCTAATTTTGGAAAATGTATGTGATATGAAGCTGGGTGCTGCATTAAAATAAAAGTGTCCAATGAGTTCAAATTGCCTTGCTTTTGTGGTTTATTTAGGATGTTGATGGTACAGATCTGCCAGGAGACCAGAAACTGTGACACCCAGTGGAAAAAATACCCTGTTGAAATGGCTGACCTTCAGCTTTGAAAGATGAAATCACTTACATTGGGATTGTGTGTACACAGTAGAGACAGAGAGAGACTTATTTAAAGTGAAATCATATTTCCTTAGGCTACAGTTAAGTCAAAACTTCATCTTTGCTTTGTCAGGCCTTGCTTTGTCAGAATTCAGACATAACTCCCTGATTTAGCCCAAAGAGGGACACTCTTTCAGCACTGTGAAGGAAAAACCATTCCCAGCCTCCAGCAGACCCTTAGTCAGAGGGTGGCCAGGCAGGACCTGCAAGAGGACTCCAGGTGTTCCACCTGAAGTGGATTTGGCCCCTTGTCAGCTGCAAGAACTGAAATTAAGCTGGGAAAATGAAACCATTTGAATGGCTGGCCTTTGTGGGCAGGGAGCCAGAGGGGACAGCATATTCTGCTCTTTAACTAGTATGATTTTTAAGAATTATGTCACAGCTATCCAAAGAGCAGAGCTTTAAAAGAGGAAATAACGAGTGATAAATTAATTCTTCCAGCATTAAGCCATGACAAGGGATGTTTTATTGGCCTAAAAGTATGTCTCTGGTGCACATGAGGCACAAGGCCAAGGCGTTAAAAACTTGTAAATATCCTGTGGGGAGCTATTTGCCATCAGCAGTGGGATGGATTTAGATGGCTCCTCCATTCTTAGTTTTTACAATTAGATGGTACTCTGGGGGGCCTTCATGCAAATCTAGATTGGCTCTCCATATTTAAATTCATGGTTCCAATAATCTTTCTTAAAAATTAAAAATGCATCTTCCTGCTCCAGAGAAAAGTTCTTAGTCGAAGTGGGAAAGAAAAGAGGTAGGAGAAGCTTCAAAAGCCCTTTTTAATCTGTTTTTCCAAGTAGTGCTGCTTTACAAGTGTGCCTGCTTCAGTGATATGTTTACATGGATTTTGCAGTAAAGCAGAATAAAGGAAAATTAACAAAGAAATGGAATCCCTAGGTATCTGTAGCCCATAGCCAAATCAGAGCTCCTTCACCTCATGGTCTCATTGCTCCTCCTGTTTTACAGTGCCCTCAAATGCACCTTGGAGCAGGAGCCCTTGGGAATGTGAGCTCCACTTGCAGCAGTCTCTTATGTCCTTATATTGCCTCAGTACCCACTGATTTGGGCACACATCTGGAAGCAGTGGCATTAGCTGTGTTCCAGATGTGTTAGCTTAGTCACCCCCTGCCACTACATGCTGAATCAGTATTTTCAGTTAAATCTTGGATTGATTTATGTTTATTGATTGTTAACTTAAATTCCACGAGGCAGGAAAAATATCTTATCTGAGGACGTTTTGAGGATGCTTTATGCATCAGAAATGTGATGGGCTAGACAAGACTAAGGCTATATATTGCATCTAGTCTGGTTTTTGTGGGAGGGAGAGAGGATGGGAAGGAGAGGGGGAGATAGCTTCCTTAGCCTAGGCTGATCCCACTAGAAATGTTATCTTTTTACATGCCATCCTTGGCTCATGTAGGGAGCTCATCAGTGTGCTGTGGTTTTCAGTAAAACATGGGTGTAGCAGCTGGCAAACGTGCAGGTACTGCCTCACTGCCACAGACTCTCCACCAGGACCCCACTGCCTCCAGAGATGAGCAGAGCAGCGATAGCGTGCCAGCCCCATGATGGCAAATGGCATCCAGAGCCCAGTGAGGAGCAAAGAGGGGAAGGAGGCAGTATGTCAGCTCTGGTAGGACCATGATAGAGAAAAGGAGAAAAAAATGTGACTCTGGAAAAGTAATCATGCTCCTGAGGTGGCAGGGAAGTCAAGCGTGCCTCCACTACTTTGCTCTGTGCCCACACAAAAGAATAACGTGCTTTAAAATGCTCCGCTGGACTGCTCACTACCAGGATGCTTGGAGCAGGGCTGCCACTTGATCCATGAGCTATTCCCTTCAAGGTCACTTAAGGAATTCAGCAGTTTGTGCTGTCTGTCACAGGTTTAGGTGGCGTTAAGGCAGCGATACGGGTGTTGAGCAGACCAATACAGAGCACGCATTGTTTACTGCAGTTTTCACACTCTTACCTGAGAGGAAAAGGCCAGCACGTGATCTCACCTGCATTTGTTTTCCAGCCTCGTGCTGTTTGTAAAGGACACTGTATACCTGCTCAGAAATAATGGCTTTCTGTTTCATTAATGAGTTCTTACAGCAATTTCCCTTCAGAGTAATCGCCTTGGGTGAAGGAGATGTGCACTTGGACAAAAGCAATTGGCCCTCCCAGTGGGTCATACTGGGGGCACCATTCTCTGCCAACAGAAAAACCACTCCTTTTTGGATGTCTCAGTTTGGATGTGAAAGAAACCAGTGCTGCTGGAGTCAACAGTCTCCTGAAGCTATCAGTCAAAATGTCTCATGAGATTAAAAACCCCACCTTGGGAAAGGTATGTTTCCAGCATGTAGTACCATACCACACAGGGGGGAAAAAATAATAAAAATGTTGCTTTGATTGCTCTCCAAATACCTTGTTTGAGAGCAGAATCTGCCTCTTTCAGGCCTGCACTTTTTGCTGCAAAAATCCTCAGGAACTTTGATCTAGGCATCCCAAGACTTTTGACACCCCAGGACTTTTAGGGGCTCTGATTTGGAACAGACCTTCCTTTTTCACTACAATCTATTTACTCCTATCACTCACCCAATCACTTATACTGGAGAAAATAGTAACACATGCATTTATTCGTACAGCCTTTCAAACTGCTGCTGCAGGTGTGTCATGCTCCAATTAGAGCTGGCCATTAAGTGCACTTGGAGCAATGTCAGAGTGAGAGCAAACAAGTTATGAGTGTTTGGGTCAAGTGTGGCAGACTCCAGGGCTAGTGCTGGACTGCAGGGGCTGAGGTGGAGGCAGGCCAGCAGCATCTTCCTCCTGCTCTGAACTTTACCACCATAGATAAGCTCTAATTTGAGGAAGAAAAATGCAGTTTAATTTCCCCCACCTTAGTTATAAATCTAACTTAGCCTAATTCATATTTTAATGAGTTGGATTCTCAACTGTACTTCATTTCTCTCTAGTTTGATTCATTGCCTTGTTTTCTAGATTTGGCACTTGCTTGGTTTAGCACAAGCTGGGAAGGCTGAGCAAAGCACAGGTGCTTACTGCTGCTCCTGCTTTCAGCCCATGGCCTGGGGGACTCATCCTGCTTTTGTTCTCCTCCTGTACAAATGTATGGCTGGGTTTACAGCTATGCTCTGATTTAGTTGACTCTGGAAGTGTCTTTGGCTGTAGGTGCTGAAGCAAGGGGCCTGTATGACACGTCATCTGGATGGACATGGTCTTATCAAAGACTTGCAGCTCTGCAAACTGAATATTGAAATAATCAGTGGAAACCTGCACTCAGCTCAAACTGAGCACAGAAACCTGAGAGTGCATGATGTAATTTGGGAAAAGGTACAGAAATCACAATATTTGAGACTAATAGCAACACTAGCACTACACACAGGGCTGTGACTCCAGGTTGGCCCTATCTCATTCAAGATGTCACTCTGATATTATGCAGTGCTAAAAAGTGTTAAGAGGAAAAAGGAAGAGCCCCAAAGCTGTCAAAACCAATTCAGTAAATAGAGTTTGGGTGACCACTGCCTTGGCTGACATGCTGGTATTTCTTCTGGCTTCCCTGGATCCTGAAGTGTGTGCTCAAGGCCAGCCTGTGCTTCACTTCTGACCACAGTCACTTCTCTCTGCTTTAAGTTGAAGTACCTGTAAATGCACTCAGCAGTATAAGATCTATACAGACATATTTACAGAAGTTTCTGCTTTACTTTCCCTTTTGTACTTTGTTATTTGATACTTATTTTAAAAATCTTTTCCTGTGTTACTTTCCTCCAGTATAGACAGAGGAATTCCTATCTGTTCAGCCTGTCTTCTTCCAGACATTTCTTTCTCTCTGGTTGGTTTTGTTGCTTCTCTCTGGGACCATTTTTTTGGGTAGTAGTAGTAAGGTAGCCAAATTGAAGCCAGATTTTTGTCATCTCATTTCTAAAGCAGTGACTCTGTAAAATACAGCATCATGACACCCAAGAGTTTGTAGTTCTTATTTTCTTTTTTCCCCTCTATCTGGCAGCCCTGCAAACATCAGCTGGCATCCTGGAATGGTGGGATCATACTAATGAATTGAGAATTTGTAAATAACACTGTACAAGTTTGTAAGAGACAGTGTGAATCTCTGTCTCTCACTCTTTTTGCAATGTTTGCATCAACCCTGAAGCATCATTTTAAAGTAATAATATTTTTGTAAACCATCAGAGGTACGTGTGAGCCACCCTGCCCCATAGCAGGTGCATTCTGTAACTGCATTTTTCAGAGAATTGAACACTGAAAAGTTTCTGTAAGAGCTGGAGGGGCAGGCCTTAGCTGACTGAAAGCCTGTACCTTCCTGAAAAACAGTGCTAATAAAAGGTGTCTCTTCAGAAGGATAAAAACTGTCCTCTGACCTTGTGCTCTTTGATTCTTTGACTTCACTCCCTTGGGTAAAAGCATCACTGTTGATGTGTGCATCTCCTGAGAAGGCAAATCCCAAGCTCACAAGTTCCTCTGGAATTGATGGTAATGGTGACTCTGAGCATGGGCTTGGGAGCCAAGCCAAACCCAAGGAGTTTGGAGCATCTAATGTAATTTTACATCTTGAGGTGTCTCATTAAAAGACTCATCTATTTTGTCTCAGGAAGAAGAAGCAAGATCAAAGGCAGGAGAGGAGTGAGATAACAAAATCAGTTCTAATAAAAGTAATGGATGTCTCAATTTTTACTTCCCTTAAACAGGAGTATTTACTGCTCCTCTTTGAATTTTGCAAAGCCTTTTGAGAGTTGCACTCATTTTTGTGCTCAGACATCACTGCACATTTTGCCTTATGCAAATTATTGCCTTATTGCCTTATGCTGTCTTTTATCATTAGGGAAGAAGTAATAATTCAGGCCTCAAATTTAGCTTTTGTCTAGAAGAAATGAGGTTGATATATGCACTGCCTAGACAATAGGATACCATATAATCCCCTCATCTGTTAGAAGGGCACAAGTTATTTATGTTAATCCTCAACCTAGATGTATGTGTTTGTAGCTGTTACTTTCTGACAGTAGTTTCATTATGCTTCTTTTACTGCAGTGGGAAGTGGGTGACACAGGGGAAATGTGAACTTGTTTGCTGGATGTACAAGTTTGCTGTAGGCAAGTGCTTTAGGTTTAAAGCAGTAACTGTGCAGGTCAAGGGTAGCCACACTAATCAGAGAGACTGGCCTTTTTTCATTGTCTGGGTGGAATAAATTGCAAAGTCAATTTATTACAAAGTGGCAAAACTAGCTTAAATTCTAGAAGTTCATTAGGAGTGTAAGAAATAAGTAGGAAAAACAATTTTATCTAAAAGAGGTTTAATTTTCACTTTCCCTGTGTCACATTGGCCAAGGTGTGACAAGCCTCAGTGAATGATATTTATGAATCCAGATTTCAAAACCATGAGGTGAGCTTAAAAACCAAAGAGATCTAAAAATTAAATGGGAAGTTTTCTTAATGTGACTCCTGGCTCCTGAATTTTTTACTCAGGGCCCCTTTTTAATTCTTGACTACAGTTTTTTTCTGAACTAAAGCTAAGCTTACTCTTTTTTAAATCTCTTGCTTCTAACAGATGGAGCTTTAAGAAATACAGTCAATACTGGGAGAGAGCAAATAGGCAGCAGTGCTGTTCAGCTGACAATACTCATGCAACAGCACTGCTCCAAACCTAAAGCATTGTATTAATGTATAAGTAATAGCCTAAAGGTTCTTCTGTTAGTGGAGGGTTCAGTTACTGTGACTTCACAAGGACTAAACCTGTGTGTCCTGTACTTTCCTCCAGGAGCAAGGCTTACCTTCCCAGGGAAGACTGCCAGAATGTTTGGGACTATTAGGTGCCCAGTGGCAGGACTAGAGGCAATGGGCACGAACTGAAGCACAGGAGGTTCCCTCTGAGCATCAGGAAACACTTTTTCAACTGTGAGGTAGCACAGTTTCCCAGAGAGGTTTGTAGAGATTCCCTTCTTGAAAATATTCGAAAGCCATTTGGACGTGGGGTCTGGACAACCAGGTCTAGGTGACCCTGCTTGAGGGGATTTCCAGAGATCCCTTCCAACCTCAACCAGTGTGTGATTCTCTGATAAAACAAGGTCAATATTGTCCCATTAGAAATGGGAACATGCCATCTGCATTGACCACCATATCCAGCTTCATAAAAGAAATTATAAGACATTACTTGCTGTATTTTGCTTATGATTTGTAGCCTGCATGTATCTCTCTATGTTTAGGCAGCAGCTGATCATAATTATTTAGCTGAGTGTTTCTCCAGGGATAATGAATGAAACTGAGTTCTAGTTTCTGTGCCCTGGAGAGGCAGGAGAGCAGAGATCTTCCTTGAGGCAAACAGGATTGGCCTCAGCACATAACCCACTTTTTTGAGGACTGTAATTTTTCAGAGAGACTGAAATATTTAATCAGCAGTGACCTAATAACATGTATGTGGCAGGTGCAACGGGGCTCAGTGAACTAATGAAGTATGGATGGCCCTGGCTCAAGAGTAGGGGGGATGAATCGGGAGGCTAATATGGGATGAGCCAGCCAAAGAGATTATTTTCTTGCACAGGCAATAGGGAGAGCTCCATAAAGCTGTCTGAAATCCTGCCTTCCTAGAAATCCACTCCTTTAAGCTTGTGGACTGGATTCTTTGGCCCCCAGAGAGAGACAGGATGCCTTTCCCCTTATCTGTAACCAGCTAACAAGGAAATAGAGACCTGGACTTTATTCAGCATTAGCATGAAAACAGCTGGGAAAGCAAAACTGGTGGGACTGACTGGGGGCAGGGGCTGAGCCCTGTCAGCCAGTGTCCTGCACAATGCACGGCACAGGGGCCTCTGACAGACAACTGCTAGTAAATGTAGGTATTAAAGGGGTGGGTTACAGTTATTCATAAAATATTATCTTGAAGAAAAAATCTAATCATGAGAGGAAAATGTGTTTGAGGCTGTCTTTGCTGTCATGGTGTTTGATTCTTTGACACTGACACTGCTGATGAGAGTCTGGCTCTCAGATGTCTGCGTCCAGAAAAGTAAGATAGTCCAGGCATTAGCGCATGAGCCATGTAAAAATCTGGATTCAGATCCTTTTCTGTGGTCTGGGGAAGTCATCAGAGGTGGAGTTAACCTTTCTTGATTCCACCTGGTTAGGAACTAAAGCCTTGGTGTCTAGTTGCCTCGGCTGCCTCTGGACTAAGAAGGAGAGAAGAGCACTTTTGGAGAGCAGGCTCCTGCAGTGCTGCTTTGCTGGTGAGCACGGGAGGGCTGCCAGCACCTCACTGTGGCCTGTCACTCTTGTGTCCCAAACCACCTTGCAGCAGCACGGCTCTCTGCCTTCCCAGCCCTGCAGCTGCTCCTTCCTACCATGGCAATGGCCCGTGAGCCCCCTGCCATCCTGACCAGGGGAGAAAAACGAGCTAACACCAACCTGGCAAAAAAACTTGCCATCTTACCCCAAACTAATTCCTTCCTTTGGCTTGTGACGAGGCCATTTGTGCAGCTGGGGGTGAGGAAAGGATCAGCAAACAAGCCAAGGAGCCCATGCCATTCTCATGTCTGCACTCAGTAGCCAAATACCAAATACCTTGTTCTGCAAACCAGGCCATTATCTGTGATGGGCTCCTGGAAAAGAATTAAGGCTATTTGACCAAGTAAGGGCAGAGCCAAGTCCTTACCCAGCAGTGCAGAGAGGTTTTACAGCAGCAGGGTGTGGAGGAGCCCTTCCTCTGGGCACTGGTGCAGGGCAGGGTACCACAGCGTGGTGTCACATCGCTGTAGCACCGTGACTCATCAGCTCAGCTGGGCCCTGTGCACTCTTAATCCATCCCGGGCCGTTTCTCACATCGAGCTGCTTTGAAAGTTTGAGAAAGTTTGCTTTGCTCTTGATTCCTCATTTTTGCACAGCTCACTCCATCTGGGCCTGAAAGTCAAAGCACTGAAATGTTGCAATAACAGCTGTGCTTGCAAGCCTCCTATCCCAGCTGATAATTAAATGCAGAATATCTCAAGAAGAACTCATATCTAGAGAAGACAAGCCCAGCTGTTAAAAAAAACCCAACAAAACCAAAACAACTGAAATAAACATCTGAATATGCAGGTGCTTGTGCAAATTAAAGCTGCTCTCCCCTTCTCAGGTTAAAGATTTAGCTGAGGTCATGAAGGACCTCTCCTATTGTTTAAAGCTGCTGGTGCATGAACTCATAGTTGTGTTAAGCAGCTATTGGCAGGGACACAAAGTGTCCACAGCCATCACTCCCAACATCTAGTGTTTGAGAAGATGGATTCTCTGCAGGCACTGCCTGGGATTGTTAGTGTGCCCTGTACCTCCCCAGCCTGCCAGGCAGTGCAGGGGCACCGATCAGTGTGCAGGCCCTGAGCTACAAGGAAAGGTTATTTACTCAAGGCTGGCCGAGGGCAGGGCTTCACCTGAAGCCAGCTGGCCTCAGCCAAGGTAAGATTGATGGTGCAGCTGTTGGTGGTAAGAAAAGATCCACCTGATTATAGATAATGTCTATCTTGTGTCTCTCTGGCTTGTATGGGGGGGTTGAACAAAATGTGAGCAGATCAGAGCAGCTGACCTGAATGAATGTTTGTTTTTCCTCTGTTCAGCTGGGGCTTTTTCTGGGTTTAATTTGCTCGCAGACTGCAGTACAGAGAGCAATACCTGCATACCCCGAGACTGGGCTCACTGCTGTCCTCCCAGCAGTGGCAGTGGAAGACATAAACAGCACTTGCCTTGGGTACATCTTATCTGAAAAAGTGTGTGTTATCCCTGGTTTCCATGGTCTGTCTGGGAACAGCTCTAAAAGCTGTAAATGGCCTGGGACTCCTCTGGTGGAAGACCTAGTTTTCTCAATGGTGACATTTCAGTGTTTCAGCTGCAAAGCGCTGGGTGTGAGCAGTGTGAGCAGTTTGGGGTCCAGGTGATAGATCAGGCTGCCAAGGGCACCCAGAACCCACAGGACAGCTCTCCACACTGCACCTGCCAGGCTGGAGGGTATCCAGTGCCCACCAGGGTGGGTCCAGGCAGAGCTGCCATGTGGAAGTGCTCCAACTTCTCATGTTTATGCAATAAAGACATCAGGGCATTTTCATCAAGGTCTTTCTGTTCCTTCAGTCTATAAAACCTTGATTAGTTAATTTTGGGACAATATTTATTCCTTCAGGCATATATGGTTGGGAAGAGGATGGTTTGATGGGAAGAATGGCCAGTGCTTGTTCCCAGGGGCAGGAAGGGCATTTTGGAGGACATGCTACACATCAGCGCTTTTGTGGAAGGTAGGCACACTTGAACTCTTGGAGAAGTGTGCTTCATAAATCAAGGAACAACTTTCCTGAAAATAGAAGGTTGGAGCAAATAGGGGAGGTGATGGGTAAACACTGGTGTAGTTCATGTCTGCCTCATTCTTCACAGCATTAGCTGTTTAACACAGCATTAAAATGCTCTCCTGAAACTAAAAGGAGACATATCTAGCCTTTGTATTTGTGAAATGAATTTTGAAAACTGCAGATCAAGTTCAAACTGCCATTGGGTTTGCTTCCCAGGTCTACAGAAGTCTTGAAACCACAGTTTTGAGAGGCAATTAACTCCTTAACCTCAAGATGTGCATTGACATGCAGCGTTGTTAAGGGTTCTCTCACTAATCACTTCTGTGGTCGTTAATCAGCTGACACACACATTCCTCGACTCCAGACAGCTCCTCAGACAGCCAAAAGTAACGACCCTCCTCTAAAGCAACCTCTGCAACACATCCTTAATTCTTTCCATATTGCACATGTTTTCTTAATACACAAAGCTGTGGTGTACTGAGTTTGTGGAGGCAGCATAAAATTAGTATAAAAACAAATAATACTGAATCTACTATGCTTATTTTATTACTCTGGTTGCATTTTATTTATTAAAAGCCCTTTTTTTCTTTCACTTTTTTTTTCTTCACTTCAGTGAGCTAGCTGACAAATTCCCCAGCTCTTACACTTGATCTTTGCAGAACTTAGGGGATTTGTTAGAAAATTTAGTTTGAGCTTACAAACTTCTTGAGATAGAGGGCTAAATTCCCTTTCAATGATGAGCTCTAGCTGACAGGAGACTTCAGCAGGAGTTTCAATCAAATAGTTATCACCTCCACTGACTTCCCCTTTTGAGTGAGGCTCCAAGGGGTCAGGTATCTCCTGACCTCAAATAGTTCCTCCTGCCAGTGCTGAGCTTCTGGGTGTCCTGGCTCCCACAGGGAAAGGGGGCCCATGGGTTGCCATTTCTGTTCCAGTTGCCTCTCCAGGTAAAGGTTGCTCAGATGAGGCTTTTCCTGCCCTTGGTATGTGTTGCCATCAGCCAACACTGCAAGGTCTGGGTTCTGGGACTGGATAATGGTAAGCATTTCTCAAGGTAAATATGGGTATTTAGTTGAGAAGTTGCCACAAATGTTAGCCTGGCTTTCAGCACTGATGGTGTGATTGGTGTGTAATGTCAGCTGAAGATAAGAGGCTAAAACTCTCTAGGGGAAAAAAAAAAAAGCCAAATGAGCTTGAATGAGAAATATGCTGCATGCTGGTTAATCCTCCTTGATTAAGTGCTAACTGGAGGACCAGGAAAGCTCCATTTTTTCCCCCACATTTAAATAAAAGACAGTTGATGCCATTTCTTCCAAAAAATAGAAATCATGACTAATTTAAAACATTTTAAAAATTCTCAATAGATAAAACTAGTTATCATTTCAAAATAAAATTTCTAAAAGTAGTATTAGTTAATTCCCAGAGTGGTCTGTAACTTTAGCTCTTTGCATTTTGCCTGTTTGCTGTGAGGTACCTTAAAAGGGACTTGAGTGTGAGGGGCTTTGAGAATTGAAGGCATTTGTCTTGCCTGCATGACAAATATGGAGGGTGAAGTCAGGGCTTTATGATCTTCAGCAAGCTCATGGCTAGTTATTTTCTCTCAGCCTGTCATCACATCCCTATCTTTCCCCACCACCTGCCCCCAGCCCCTTGTTGCTTTGGATTTGGATATCTCTGAAGGTCATTAGAGATTTCAAAAAGCTCTTTTTTACCAGTCATGCCTATTGAAAGGATGGTCAAGTTTTGTTTTCCTCTCACTCTTGATGCTCCTCTCTGACATTATTTTCCATTTTCCTCAGCTTGCACAATTAAATGGGCCACTGCCACCTCCCTGTTCCCCTGCCTATTTCCTGCTGATCCTGATGAACTGTCAGTAGTTACCTGTGTGGGTTGTATGTACACAGGGCAGGGTTTGCTGAATCAAGGCATTCCATCATTTTTTCTTACTAGAGTAATAAATCCTTAGGGAGACTTCACTTTTTGCAGTAGAACTCATTTTAATTGAAAACTTAGGAAGCCTTGGAATCTATGGATAGCACATGCTCAAAAAAGAAGGGAGGGAAAGGGAAAAGGGAAGGGCCACTGACAGCAGTGGTGCTCTGCAGTTCTCTACATTCCTGTTTTTGACTGACTCTTTAATGACCCTGTTTGACAGCATCATTTCTCATGGTCCTTACTTCTTCCCATCAAAGACTAACCTTCCCAACATTAGTCACCTCCTGAAAAGTGGTTGGGTATTTTGGGTGCTTGGGAAGCAAAGCTAAGCTGACCTCATAATTTTCAATTCTAATTTTCAATCTCTCACAGCCTCTCCTTCAGTGTGACTTCCCTCTCAAAGAGAGGAATGAACTCTAAATTAGGATTATGCCAACTGCTTCTATGGCCTTTAAAAACACATAACCATTTCTATAAATTTCCATCTTACCAGGGGTCACCCAGCATCTCTAAAGCCAAGTTCATGGTCTGAAATTCTGCTCTCTGGAGGATATTTACATGTGCACTTCCCACAGATCAACCACACTTTTCCAGAGGCATCGCTGTTGGAATAAAGCCCCTAAGGAAGACTCCGTGCCAAGCAGGTGGGAGCAGACAGCAGCAGCACTTGGGCAGGGAGAGCAGACTGCTGAGGGGGCAAAGGGGCTGCCAGGGAAAGAGCAAGGAGGTTTTAAGGTCTGAACAGAGGGGATATGGGAACAAAGAGGCTCTGCCCCTGTTGTAAGCTTTCTTGCGAGTCTGTGTTCCCCAGTGAGCAGCTTCATATGTGAAGGTTAAGCCCTGGTATAAGCACATGGAAACACTGAGGATGCACCAAGAAACAAGAAATTGTGCACAAGAAACAGCTGTTTAGCTGTTCAACCTATTGTGTTTGGTTGAAGGGATTTTCTGGCCTGCTGTGACTTGGTATGGTAAATTTAGTACTGGCTTGTGCTTTTACCACACTGAGGTTTTCATATGTCCTTGCTGGCTCCTGTTCTCCATCAGGGCATCCCTGCATTTGGCACAGACAGGTGATAATGCCACAGAGAGACAAATTTTTCTCAACACATGATCTGCTCTGGGACTTCTGTCACTGTAGTATGCAGCAGCCCTAAAGCTGAACCAAGCTCTATCCCCTGTGCTTCACCAGCTGTGAAAGCAGGGCTCCCAGAGGCTGCACCAGCCAAGTGCAGGTCACTTCTCAGTGGGTGGTGAGCCCTTGCTGTGTAACCCTCTCAGCACCAGGGACCCCAGGCAAGAGGTGGCCTGGGCACCCTCGATGGAGACAGGTGCCCAAGGCAGTCTGCCAAGGGACAGGGGTGGCTGCTGCCACAGAGGATGGAGATGGCCTCACCTACCTGCTGCTCTGGCCAGCCTTCTCTGGGCAAAAAGGACTTGTGGTTTGGAAGGAAATGAGAGATATTTACCACAGAGAAACTGTATTGGCTACGTAACTCCTTGCTGGCAGAAGTAGTTTGGCAAGATAAACATAACCGACATAATTGGGTCCAATTTCTTTAAATGCACTGCCCTGTATAATGAGAATAACTGAGGCCTTTTGCTGCCAGGTTGTTGAGTCACAAATGTGAAAGAAAGAAACCCAAAATAAACAAATTACTGAGGCGTTTGAGCTGGCTACTTTGGATCTATTTTTAAGCAAGACTTTAGCTGTAAGAATCTTGAGATTTAAGATTCTGCCTGTATCCTGTGTAAATAGCATTTGGCACTCCAGTGAAGTTCAGTGCTCAAAATTCAAGGAATAGCTTTGGTTTGGGCTCATCTGGAGATATATTGTCAGCAATTGTTGATTTTTTGCAACACCCACAGCATCTGCAGTCGTGTAAAGCACGTGAGCTCGTGTTGGCCTTAAGTAAAAGTGGCAGCAATAGCAGCCAAGTGCTGTTCACAGTGTCAGCTCAGATAAACCTCTCTTTCTTCCTCGAGGGCAGCCCCATTTCCTGAAAGTGCAAACCCACACAGTTTTCATGGGAGTGTGAAACACAAACTGCTGTGCTGTAGCTGAAACACGCTCCCCTGACCCTCTGCTGCTTCTCGGCTCCTTGAGCAGAGAAGGAAGGTGGGTTTGAACTGGCTCATCTGAACAGCTCAGGGCTGTTTTTTGAGCAAAACCTTACAGATCTGTGAATATTCACAGATGCGCTCAGATATGACCCTAAGTGAGATTTCCTCACTTTTATAGACTCAGAGACGAGGGCAAAACCCATCCAGCCCATCTCTCTGCCATCACAGGTTTGTTTTCACTGTATTTCCTACAGCAAACATTGCATGAGTTGTCCTAGTTTGAGTCAAGGTGAAACTTGCCTGCCTGCATAAAGAAATGTTGCTTTTTTTCACAGCAAAATGGCAGTCTTGCTTTGCAGTGCCAACACAGATGTCACTCACCACTGGCAGCTCACACTGAGCTGCTGCAGCCTGAGGAGCCCACTCTTCAGACACAGAAGGCAGCTCTGAATCCATCCAACTATTTATTGGAATAAAGCTTTGAATGTAATAAAGCTTCCTTTCTTGATCTGGGAGCTCTTCAGATGGTGAAAAGGACAACAGACTTGCAGACATCCCCTCATGGCTCAAGCCCCCTCTCTGTCCCTTAAGGCTGTAGCAGCAGGGTATCTCACTGCTCTTGAGGAGGTTTTTTTATCTCATCTGGGAGCAGAAGTCAGTTCCATGTAGCCACCAAAGCATCCATAGAACCAGGTGGCCAGGATGCAGAAGCCTGGCTCCTGCACCCACCAAGTTCCAACCCTCAGTCTTTGGTTTGCAGCTATTTAGATGAAGACAGGAGTAAAATAGATTTGGAAACAAGTTATAATCTTTTACCCTGTTCCTTGCTGTGGTTCACTGCACATCTGCACAAACATAGGCTTGAGGGGGTCTGGGCCCACAGAGACCCTCTGGCCTCACTTGTGTGCCTATCTTTGGGTGACACATGGCAAAACCAAGCTTGTAAGTGTTCCAGGGCACCTCTCCTGGCTTCTGTCAGGTGCCACAGGGCTCTTCTGCAGCCATGGCTGGGGGCACTGCTGTATGCTGACAGTGCATTACACTTCCATGGATCATTCACTCTTTCTGAATATCTGAAACCATGAAGAACACTGTTTATTGATTATTATCCTTTATCAGCAGGCAGAGGGGCACATAGTGGGAGTGAGAGAGGGGTCTGGACTCTGCCCTCCTCCAGCACCCCACGGTCAGGTGCCCCATGTAGACCTCTCCTACAGCAGGGAGCCAAGGATAAGGGGAACTGGAGCTTACTTCTGTCAGGAAGCGTTTGCAAAGCTCAGACTGACACGCTGAGGCGAACAGCAAACGCTCCCAGACCACATAAATAAGCCGTCACTTTGAGCGAGTATGTAACTGAAAAGCAAGCAGATTGGAAAATTATCTAAAAATAGTGGAGCAAAGATTAGCAGCACAAGCATCAGCTCAGAAGCATCAGGACACTCCTGGGCTTATTCAAATCACAAGTTCTTAAAGGAGGATTGCAAAGACGTTGAAAATACACAGACAGCTCTATACGTTACTTGGGTTTGCCTGAACTCCAGGAGAGCACGATGTTCCTGGCAGGGCACAGCAGCTACCTGGGAAGTCTTAGCATTTTTAATGAGGGTTATGAAGAATTCTATTATCATGGAAAGGAATATAATAATTTTCTCAATAAAAAAAGCTCCTTAGTCAGTAACCACTGCCTAGCTCTTGGAGGCAATTCAGCCTTCTTTAGCTGTCATTTCAGAAGACATATGGCAAGAACGAGATCAAATTCATATTGCCTTTCATATCAGGAAAATTTCCCATTAATAATAGGTTTGTCTTTATAAAATTTGTCTTGGAGTAAAATAATTTGAGCTATGTGGGGTTTTATGAGACACTCTAGAGGGAGAAGTCTGCAGAAATTTCTGACCGTCTCCTCTCTTTACCTTCCTCACTTCAGACCCTGTTAAGAATTTCACAGTCTTCTAGTTTGTTTCAGTTGCTTTTGCAATTTCTCCCACCTTTCTGCTGTCCTTTTTGGCTTAGTTTTGTAATCATTATCCATTAACTATTTATTGCTTTATTGAACCATCATGGCTCATGAACGCATGTTTTCTTTCCCTTATTTTTCCTACTTTTTATAGTGTATTCATTAAAACTTGCATCCCTTGTAGTGGGAGTGCAATACCAACCTATAATACTAATTGCTGTTGCGGGATCTTGGTAGCAGAGCTGCCTTTGTTTTCTCCCAAGCTGACACCTCCCTTGCAGTTCTCTTTGAATCCTCACCATGGTGGCCTGGAGCAATGAGCTTGCCATGAGATCCTTCAGAAGCTTTCCCCCTGCAGCTGTAGAGGTGACTCAGCTGTCCAGAGACTGCTGTGATCTGATCTCTCTCTGGTCAATAAGGGCTCGGTGATGGATGAGCTGAACCAAAAGCTACCTGCTGCTACAGGAGGGGAGAGCCTGTTCTCCTCCATCCTGGACCCCCTCTATGCCCTTCTCTGAACTCCAGGCTGCACTACCCACTCCTCACCTCCCTGACTCTCCTTGCACCAGCTCTGGAACTCATCTCATTGTAAGATAAGCCAATTTGAACCAGTAAAACAGCAGATCTGTGAGACAGTCATTCAGTTTGAGGTGCCTTGTGAAACCATACCCTCCAGCTAAAATCATATCTGCACATTAAGCTATATTTGGACACAGTTCTCACCATAACAAGAAGGAGTAAACAACCTTTCATTTCTTAAAATTGGAATTACAAGTTATGGAGGGTATGGAAAAAAATGTCAGCAGTGGATATATAAACAGCTACTAGATTATATGACCACTAAAATCCAACTTTTGTGTCATTTTTCATGAGGTGGCATTTCAGTGGGCAAGCTTGAGCAGCTACACCAAAATTACCCACTCTTGTCAGCAACTCAGCTACTTCTCCTGCTGGTTTGCCCTGCAGCTTCAGATGGGTCATCCCTTTTAGGCCCTCTGTGTCTCCAGCTGTGAAGCTGTTGTCTGCTGTGCACCAGGATGCTCCATAGGCTCTACAGCAGGCTGGGAACAACAGAGGTAGCAAATTTTTAAGAGGGAGATGTTGCAGTCCTTTCTATTTTTTGACTTGCTCCCCTTGTCTCATGTGCACCCCTAATTTCCAGGAGAAAAATGTCCTGAGCTCTGGCAGTAATTATTAAGAGCATAGGTTATTATTAAGCAGGTTCAGTAAGCTAAGCAGGGATCACGGAGCAAAGGGTGTACCTGGGAACTTATAGAAGTACTTTTGAAAAGCGCTTTAAAGATGAAGCATGCTTCTTCATCATGTGTTCTCATTATAATGACCAGTCTTTCTATCTACAGAGGAGCAATGGCACCTGCCAGGGCTTGCTACTGCTCTCCCTGTGTCGCTGTCAGAGTAGAGAGGGTCAGTTTAGAGAGGCTGTGCTGGCAGCCTGAGCTGGAAGTGCTGCTCTGGCTGCACCACTGCCTTCCCTTGCTGTGCTGGGAGAGCCTTCTGTAGCTCTGATGAAATGGGGACAGTAGTTACCTGCAGCTTGTCCCCTCAGTGCCGTGAGAGTGCACTCATTAGCCCTGGCAGAGTACACAGCCACCTGGATAAAAGGGAGAGATAAGTGCTCGGCTTCGTTGTTTGAAGACCCAGATCAAAGAACCAAGGGCAGCCTTGATTTACCACTGAAGGTACACCTGCAAGAAATGTCTGATTAGGAATCAAGCAATAAAACCACTGACAGCAAAAACAACAATGAAGGCATGAAAAAAGTTTGCAGCTGGTCAGCTGGAACACAATGAATCAAGGAAAACCACAAAGCAACCGCTGCGTTTTTTCTGACACTTTTTACCATCTTGTTGCAAAGACTTTCAAAACAAAACAAAACAAACACTCCACAGGATATGCAGCTTGGGTTTTTTTAGGTTTTTTTAAAGGAAACAAGGAAAGGGCAGAAAGGGCTTTCCTTCCTTTCCTTCCCCTCTAATAACTGCAGCTTTTGGAGGAAGGAGGTCCTACGGAAGATGTTAATGATTGAACAATAAATTCCTGGTAGTTAAAGCAGCACTGAAGCACAAATCTGTCTGTGCCTCTATTCCCTGCCACTCTGACAACCAGCAAATGTTGTCAGGCCTAAAGCCACCAAGAAATATTCCTGCTCCCCAGCAGCACATCGTAGTCTTTATGCCCCAGTGTCTCCAGATAAGCACCTTCACACGGTATTAGGTACAGGCTGACATGTTTTATACATCCCCTCTTGTCAGTAGGCACTCACATTCCTGCAAGGTTAAGAAAGGGCATTCATCCCATCAGAGAGCAGTACAAGGATGCAGAAAGATAGGTCACAGTTATCCAGGAACAGAGAAGAGGTGGCACAGACTTTTCTGGGGAGCAAGCCCTGGGTGCTGGAGGGATCTGCACCTTGACCTCTGAACAGCAGACATGCCTCTACCCAGGCTTGGGGCAGGGGGAAGCCACCACTTCCCACCTCTAGTGCCATCCATCAGCATGACACAATGAGTTTCCCAGTTTGTAAGGTACCTCAGGACAGACATGAAGAGCCAGTGTCTGGAAAGCAGCCAACTAACAGGAGGGGAGAGGTGACAGGGAACTGCTGGTCACGTAGGTCATGAGCTGCAAATCAGAGCTGAGTGTCAGGGAGAGGGATTTTTCCCTTGGAGCAGCAGAGACACCTTTTTCCTTTACTATAACAAAAAATCAAGCCTACTTCAGCCTGTTTCTGTGCCTCATGAAGACCAAAGGGCTGGGGCTGTGTGGGTTCAGAGGGTTGTGTTAAAGTTCCTTGCAGGACAGGGAGGAACAGACAAAGCAGACATGAAAGGCAGCAGTCAGGAAATGTCATGGAATCTTTCAGCAAATCTAGGAAACTTGTTTTGATTAAGTTTATACAGAAACACTTAAAGAAAATAGAGAAAAGGAGACCACCAACATAGCAAATCCAAGTTGAGCTAATGGAAAGAAATGAGTTTTTATTATTCTAGCAAATATTGGTGGGAATGTGATTGAAACAACCCACTGAATCTAAAGTCCCCCACCTCAGGAAGCTGATCAAGCTCCAAATTTCCCCGCTGGCCTCAGCTCCTCTCAAGGGCCAACCCAAAGCCTTAGAGATGAACAGTGGGAACATGAAGAACATCAGGAGCAGATCCAGATCCATGTGGCTTTGGCCTGTGTCCCAGCAGACACAGTAAAATTGGGGAGAAATCAAACCTGTGGAGGCTGGAAAGGGTTGAGACACCAGTGGGGCTCCTCTCTCCCAGACGTAGCAGTCTGAAGGCAGGGTGCAGAGCTCTGCCAGGCTGCCTCAGCTCTCTTTATTGGACCTGGAGACACAAATGCTTACAAAGGATGATTCATCCCAACAATCTGAGGGGCCTTTGTGCTGACAAATCAGTCCCCCACACTGCCAACATAGCAATTCATGCTGAGACCTGCCCCAGACACCATCTAAGTCTCAAGAGAAAAGCTGGCCACTGCTAACAGGACAGTTTGCCCCACACCTTCAGGGGCTGTGCCCCAGCGCTGCTGTGACAGACTCAATACTCTCTCATGTCCCTGTACACACCCCAGGCTCACTGTACCAAGCCTTAGCATCCCATCACAAAATGCTGCTGTGACCCTGGCGCTCACCCCTCTGTGGAGCAGCAGTGTCCTTTCACCATTTCACAATGACCATCTTCCCTCAGAGACCGCAGGGAGAGGGCACACAGCTCCCTCAGAGCAAACCCCCTGCTTGCTGATGGTGAAAAGGCAGTGATTCTTTACTGTAAGTAATCCAACTTACTACCCAAAAGGGGTAGAAGTTGTCAGTGAGCAACCATTCCAGCAGCATTGAAGTGCTCTTTTAGAGAGTAGCATTTCTATGGTGCTCAAAATAGCTGTCTCTGAAACTAATAGCACCTAGAAGGTGTCTGTCCTTGGTATTGCAAAAAACACCATGCTTCATCCACAGAAGTTCCTGCTGAGGAGGAATGAGTCTGGCTGGGATTTCAGACCTTCCTGGAAGAGGTGCATTTTTTTATGAAGCTAACCAAATAAACTCTTTCCACAAGCAGTGGAATCAAGGCTTAAATGATAATGAGGAAACACAGGGAATGAACTGGAAAGGGTATGAAAAGAGGGCTGGTTGATCTGCCGCTCCTCTAATTGAAAAGCTGATGGATTTTACTGCGTGATGGTTTTACTGGAGACCAACAAATTACAGTTTTAATGCCAGGAGGAAAGAAGGCTCTCTAAGTGTTTCCTGTACCAGATGGGAGGGGAAGGGTGTCCCTTGCCCTTGCAGGAAGCCATGCTGCTTGAACACTGAGCTGCCAGGCCTTCAGACATGTGGGGCTTGTCAAGGCTGGGGAGCACCAGTGTTTCTGAGAGTGCTCCTTCACACACAGCTTACCCAGCCTTTTGAACACAGTTCAGTCGGAAGTGAGAATAGCTGGCTGAGAAAAAGGTTGCACTATGAAATACATTCCCACTGCAAACACATCCCTGCTCACTACCTCCCCATACTTCTGCTAAACCAACCAAAACCAAAAAGGGACTATATTTCAAGAAAAATAAAGTAGCATAATTAAGTCAGTTACCATACACAGCATATGATTCAGGAAATCACAGTGCAGTAAGTTACTGTAAAAACATGAGATCCTTGTGCTCTCAATGACTACCTGTATTTGTACCCTTATCCTGTGCCAAACTTGGCAAAAACAAGATAGCATCCCCCTCCCAGCTGAAGGTAAACTTCCTCACCTTAATGGATGATTAAGGAGTTCCTCCCTAGGGCCATGCTTATGCCACTGTGCTCCTTCTGCCTTAGCTCTGTGGGCCTGCCAAGAGCTGAGGATGCTGCTGGATCTGCTCCCTCCCTAGGAGACAGAGAGACTGACATTAGCAACAGGTTATCAGTGTTGCAGACATTTTTAAAATCTGCTTTTTAAAAAAGACTATTTTAGTCTTTTTAGTTTCTTTTTTATATAGTTTTATTTTGTTTCTAATGCATGTGATCTTAGTTAAAACATAGCATTTTTCTGTGAATATGTATTTTCTCTGAAGTTTATTTCCCTCTCAGCTTATATTACTTTCTAGATGCAGTGCCTTTCACTGAAGAATATGACTCTTGTGGTGCACCATTTGCATTTATGCTCCAGCTGCTTGTAGCAGACACTGTTTAAACACGTCAAAAAGAACTTACAGTCCCTCCACATGACCAAGAATGAAATCCTTTCTGGGTTTCAGGTCCTGACAGCATTTGAACCAGTCTCTTTCATGGCCCAAACTTATAGGTATATAGCCAGAGATGGAAGAGACGAGTTTCTTCTTACATGCTTATTATTCCCCTTGAAATTAATATGAATGAAAATGAATCAGATCATTCATCAGATCTGATGAGCTGTGTGACACAGATCACATCTGAATGAGTAGTAGTTGAAAAAATACCAGTATTCGAAGACAGTAGCCAGTTCTCTTTTATAGTATCAGATCTCCTTTTTTGTGCTTTCCATCAACATTCAAGTAAATGAATTTTCTTACCTTTTGTTTGTTTGTTTGTTGTGATTTTTGTTTGGTTTTTATTTTTTTATTTTTTTCCTAGAAAAAGCCTGTAAAATGAAAATCATGTGAAAGCTCATCTAATAGTCATCACCTGGGGGCTCTCACTGGCAAAGCTGGTGGCACAAGACTGAAACCTCTTTTATAGTTTTGGAATTGTTTTTGGTTTGGGGGAGAATAGATATGAATTCTATGACCAATTACATGGATCATATTTCAGGTAATAACCAAATAGTAAACAGTCCCATAGTTCCCATCCAATTCATGAATGTGAAAATAGCTGAACTGCGAAAGCAAAGTTGTGGGTTTCCACATTCCCTTCCAAGTTGTGTCTGACAGCTAGAAGAGGAAAGCATTGGTCTTGATTACAAACACAAGACACAGCCTGCAAGAACAGCACAGAGTTTCTAAGCCTGGATGGGAATACTGTCAGTTTTCATGGAACAGTATTTTCAGTGCTCAACAGTTTGATCTTTAGTCCATTTTGGACTGGTCTCTTTTCTTTTTAATTTTCAGATAACTTCTATAAATGAGGAATTCCTCACCTATGAGTACAGAAATATAAAAATATTAATGACCACAAGATGAGAAACAGATGAAGGACTCTTGAAGCCAAATATTCACATCTCTGTGACAGGGATCTGGCCAACATAAGCACATAATTTACATCTACATTTCTGGCACCTAATGAAATAGTCTTTTTAAAGTAGCCACCTAATTTCCCTATTGACAAGTACTTGCCTTTGAAGGGCTCCCAAGGAGATATTCTCTATGGAACAGGGGCACCTAAATTCCTCTCCATCAGATGAATAGGAAACTCTGGCAATATTTGTCTGCTCTCAAGGCGCCTGTTTGTCAGTGGCAGGAGCCTCTCAATCACTGACCAGGAAGCCTAAACTTGCTCTAGCAACCAGCTCAGCTTTACAGCCTGCAGTCCCCCTAACTGTTTGCTGAAATAAAATTGTGCTTAGGATATTGCAAGCACAGACAAGAAAAACTTTGGCAAATCAATATTAGTCTTAAATATGTCAAAATTCAACTGCTGAAGAGAGCACTCTAACTGATACCATAATGCTCACATGCATTATTCTTTCTTTCCTTTCACAGCCAAGAAGCTTAAAATACTCAAAAGCATTAATTGAAAGAGGGTGGGTAGCCATTACTGCCTTTTATGCCTATGGTTGGCTATTTAAATGCCTATTTATGTATTTATAGGAAAGGACCCAGCAAAATACACACAGACACGCAAATGTACAAACTCATATATTCATATTGCTGAAATTACATAGCATGTCTGGAGATTAGACCAGAAATATAATCCAGATCTCTTGATGCAAAACCTTTTGCTTTAACCACTTGAGAATAGATCCCCCTAGCTTCACAGGCTGTCAGATTAAAATGAAAGAGGAAAAGAATCACAGAAACTTCAAATCAAAGCATGAAATTGAAAATCTGTCAGATCCATAAAATGAAAATTCTCTCCAAAGGAAAATTCTGACACGATCATATTTTCTCATGAAATTGGAGCTGGAAATAAGGTCATACTGAGGAAAAAAAAGAATAATATTAAGAAAGAAAAAACCTCCAGAACAGCATCAGCCACTTCAGTAAGAGAGTCTGAAGGGTTTTGACAAGTATTGTGTCTAAGCCAAAAAACCCCAGGGCTAGATCTTCCACAAAAATCAGAAAACTTAAAGGGACATTGTCAAAGTTGGTAGACCAAACATTTGAGATACTTTAAACCCAGAGTAATACAGAAGAATTCATCTTTTTCTTTATTAAAAAGAACAACTGAAAGATATTTATGAAGAATATAGTGACATAGTCTGCATATTTATTTTGTAACTAAGGATAACAGGCTTTGCAACATTTTTTTTTTTTTGCTTGGTTTTAAAGCCTTGCTTACATTGTAGGTTGAAAGATTACTTTCTAATTAAAACTTAGGAATTTTTTTCCTTTGCTCATACCGAGAAAGTTATGGAGAAAGTCAAATGAAAAAAAGTAAGTTAAAATGGGACACAGAGAGGGGGCAGGAGGGGGAAATGTTTATTTTTAAGTGCAGCATGGCATCATTCTGTTATAAAAATCTGGTGCAAACTGATTTTCTGAAGTGCTGAGAATCTACAGATCCTTTGAATTCATCAGGAGATCTGAGCACTCAGTTGACTCCCTGGGAAATCAGGGCACATTTCTTTAGCTCCCCAAGTCTTAACCCTGCAAGAATTTCTTCACATGCCCAGTTTAGCATATATGGTTACTGCAGCTGGATTAAAGTGACTTCATGGTGGCTTTGTTGTTGTATGTGCAGAACTTAGTGGCTGGATACCTAACTGAGATAGCACAGGTGTAATTAATCTGCTTAAAGGTTAATAAGGACCAAAGTCAGCAGTGTGAGATGATCACCTGGCTCCAGTTAATGGAGGAAACAGGTATTTAGTGGGCACGAGCCACCCTGTCAAGCCCAGCACACAAACCAAAGTGCCAAAGCATTGAGGAGCATGTGTGCAGCCAAACCGCTGCAGGAGGTCTCAGTGGATCCCAGAGACTTACAGGAATATCCTTCTGGGTTTGGATGTGCTTGCTGTAGCATTTTCTGCAACATCTGTAAGGAGGGTCAGTACCTCAGATGTACTTCTCAAAAACCTCCATGCTAAACAAGATTAGACAAGGGTTTTAAAATTACAATATTGCTAAATAATCTGGCAGCATGCAGTTGGTCCAGTTGTTACTGTTGAATTAGTAAATATGCAAAACAGCATTTGCAGCGGTTGGTACCTTGTGTATTTATCCACATTTTCCTTGTGATCCTTTTTCCACTGGCATTTCTAGAGCAATTTAGGTTGTGAGCCCAGTTACACTGTGGGGACATTTATATAAGGAAGACCAAAACCTTCATATTAAAATAAAACCTGTGGAGGGACATTGCATCTTGGGACTACAAGGCTTCTGTGTCCTTTTTCCTTCCTCACTGAGAAGAGAGCAGTTTTCTAGAAGCCTCCCTGGCTCCTGGCCAGGAGTCTCTATCTCCACAAGTGGGTCTTTAGAACAGGACCAGGAGGTTTAAGCAGCCTCCCTATTTCCCATGGCAGCTCCAGCCTGCAGACACCAAGGTGATGTGGATGTGGCATGAAGAGCCATCTTCCTGGATGCTGCAGTGATTATTCAAATGAAGCAAGGCTGGGCACTGGAGAGGACATTTGCCAGGCTGGTGTCCATCGTGTGCCAGCGGCCAAGGGACAACTGGTGGGATGACTGGCGTTGATGAAGAGCTCTGTGCGTGTCATCCCTCAACCCAGCTCAGCTCAGTGAATACCTCTGAGCATTGAGAAGGATGTATTCATCTTTTCAAGTCCAAACCCCACTGCCAGGCTGCGTGAGAAGGCAACAGCACTGCCCAAAGCTGTGGCTTAGCAGTGAGGTGCACCAGCCCCTTGACCCACAGCACAGAAGAGACACAGAAGACCACTGTGGGCTTAGCACACAGAGATCTCCAGGGAGCTGAGGCAGCTGACTGATACCCATCCCCTTGGTTTCCAGCCTCAGATTCTTATGAGCAAAAGGACATACCTTTTGCCACTGGGAAAACTGATGGAGGGGGTAGGTCTTATCCTTGCCTCTCAGAGATGTAGGCTTCAGTCAATCACTCAGTGAGAAAGTACTTCCAAGAAAAGATCTCTCAAGCTTGAAGCTGTCCCACTTCACATGTAATCAGTAAATATTAATTAGGCAAGGAAGGGAGGTAAAAATAACCCCCTCACCATGGAGATTTTTTATGAAACTTACAGATAATTTTTTAAAGCGGTGCCTGGATCTTCTTTCTTCTCACCAAATAAATGTCAAATTCTCTGTGATGAGAAGAAGTTATTCTCCCCTGCAGGGTCCATCTCAAGGCAGGAATGAATTTGATTCCCTCAGGCTGTCTGAGGATAGATTGAATGCAGATCTCCAGTATTTTTGGGTTGGTCTTCAAAAAGTGACTCTTTCCATCCCATAGCAGAAGGCAACCATAGAGATCTTCTCCATTTCACAGCAGCTGCTCTTTATTCTTTATTCACTCAGGTGTCTTGTTTGGAAAAACAGGGGGAAAAAAAAGGAGGGTGGGCACAGAGGGGAGGACTATGTTGCTGCTGCTTCTAAAAAGTCTTGTGAAGGGATCTAACACGTGGAGTTCAGCTTGTGGGTTCCTAACAAGTGCCAGCTGGGAGGATTTCTTTGCTCTGTGAGTATCTGAGAAGAGTGCCTGATAAGTCCCTGTCCGAGACCTAGCCAGGCTGTCTTTCTCAGCTGGTGAGCTCTGCATTTACAAAGAAACATAGATTCCACCTGAAATTACTTTTCTTCCTCTGTGAGGAGTAAACTATCTACTAAAGACTGCATTTTTTCCAAATGCAGTTTGATCTGTAGAGACGTGGATGCAGATCAAGACATAACTCCCAATTCCCAAAACAAAACAAATACATCACCTTGTGTGGACCTAATTTTCAAATCTGATTTTGAGGATAAATTGAGAAAAGTACAGAGTGATTTTTCATGAACATTTTTAATATCATCACCTTTGTTAAACTGGCATTAACTTTCTGCTAACCAACAAGTGGAGATCAACTTGGATGTCCTGGCTGAAATAAAAAAATAACCAGACATCCATGGTCTGTCGAGTCATGCTGGAAAAATAACAAAGAAGGACAACAACAGTGTAGCTGAGTCTGAAGCCAGTAAATGCAGAGAAACATGGATTTTCTAAACCTTAGTGGTATGTTAGGATATACTTCAGTCACGTTGTTGTAGTTCAGCAATCCTATCTATGGCTGTAGTTCAGGTTCTCTTGAGCAAAAAGATATGAAACAAGTAGCAAAGAAAGTGTTTGGACTTTAAGAAGGTCTTGAATAAAGCTGATGGAGAGACCAAGAGGTAAATTTTGCTGAACTTTGGAAAGGGGTTTGTTTAATTTAATATTAATCTGGATCTATTGTTTTTCTGCCCTCCCTCATTTATCACTGGGATCATTTGTGCAAGGTTTATCAGGGAGCTCTGCACTGCTGCCAGTGAGCAGCCCATGGTGCTGGATTCCCGTGGGATGTGACTCCCAGATGCTGGGAGAAGAGCAGTGTGTGTGCTGTCCTCCACCTCTCTGCTGCATGCAGAAGGATCCTGTATGACATTATAATTATTTCTGAATAATTAACACCATACCCCAGACACAAGGGAGAAGAGCAAGCCTACCTTATAAAGCTGGGCTTTTAGAAGTATTTTTGGCTTCTGGAACCTTTAGGATTTTCCTGTGGGGGTAGGGATCCCTGCATGGGGAATTTAGGACTGCTGACAACTCTGGTTTTCTTTTTTCTCAAGAAAGAGGCTGGGAAGCTGTCTATGGGCCTTAGATGGTCTGTTTATTTTAATCTGATTTTAATTTATTTCTTTGAAGAAATACACCAAAATCCACATGTTGATCTTGACCTAGAGATCAGTGTTAGTCTTTAGTGAGTGAAGTCACTGACTGGGGCGAGTGGGAGCAGAGCTTGCATGATGGTTTTTATGCAAAGTTTCTGTAGTAATAGATATGCACAAAATTACTATATATGAATATTTCTTTAAAAATATTATCCAATAACAGAAAACACAAATCATTCTATATTTTCCTCCTCTGAAACAAAATGCAGTAATAACTTTCAAACATTTGTTCAGTTAAAGAGAAACTTGCTTCTCAGCAACAGGGTTCCATCATCCAGAATCATAGTCCAGTTGCTGCTGGTGAGAGTGGGGATGACAAAAAAGGTCTTTAACCCCCTCTGTAGTCAGCCAACAGAGTTCAGTACTCCAAGAGTCTAAATATCTTTGGATTTTCAGACTTGCAGCTGCAGAAGCCATGTGGTTGCTGGTCTTGGAGTAGACCAGCCCATTTGGTCTACAGCCCCTGTGGTCAGCATGTGCTTTATTTGCTTACAAGAAAAACTGCAGTTCAGATTTGGGGTCTACCAGGAGCCTTGATAGGACCCCATAGGAAAGCTTGTGGAACTCAAAGTCAGGATTTTTTGCTACTCTTCAGTGTAACATTTATCACAGGGTACGCACCTCGCTTAGCTTGCAGCACCCACCAAGGACAGTGCCCTTCCCTGCGTGTCACCATATTCTGAAGAGGGTAGAAATGTATATAATATCCCTCCAGCTGTGGGCACCCCATGGGTAACCCCACTGCTCACAGGGTAACCCCACTGCAACACTCACACCACGGGCTTCTGGAGAGCCACTGTGACACCGTGTCCTGTAGACACATGGGGGAGGGTACTGTGGTCTGCAGAGAGCCCACAGAGCTCTGCTTCCAAGGATTTCACTTCTCAGCCCTTCAAACAATAACTGCACTCATTGCCAGCAAAGCAGAGACTGTGCATGCTCCAAAATGGTAATGGGTGTTAGCACTGGAGACGGTCAAATGCTCCTTTCATTGGCTCTGGAAAAATAAATGTGAAAATATTTTTTGACTTTTTATCTTAAATTGCCACAGACTGAGGCAAAAAATTTGCCATTTGTTTTTGTGTGGGTGGACCTCTGCAAATGCCAGGCAGTGAGGAGGTTTCTGCACAGCTGCTGAGCTGAATGAGACCATTTGAGAGGTCACAACTTCCAGTCCTCCTGCAGGACTTCAAACACTGGTTCTACTTTTCTGTACAGGGAGCAGTTCTTCTAAGCCAAGGAGGCTGTTCACAGTACAGGAGTTTAAACATGGGTGTAAACTTCTGTATGACCAGGTCAGAAATGACTATCTGAGAAATGTGTCTGGCACGTTATAATTAGCAATTGTTAAGAGAAGGGCTTAGAGATACAATCTTAGAGCTCTAACATCAAGGATTATACAACAAAATAGGGACAACAGAGGAATTCTTTTTCTTTTATAGTATTTCTCAGTGCAAGAATCATGAAAAGTCTCTACATTTTTTCATCATTTCCCCCCAGTCATTTATAATAATCTCTTGGAAGAATCAAACTAAAATTTCAGTCATCACAGGGTAAAATTGCTGATTCATGCATTTGGTTTTTTTTATGTACGGTTGTTCATGAGGGCTCAAGGCAGTGCCACAAAATGAAGTTTACATTTGACCTTTGAAAAGTCAAAACTGGTTTGAGGAAACTGCATATAAAATAGTTAAAATGTTTTCACAAGGTGTATCCCTAAAGCAGGTACTGAGGTGCTAAATCCAGCAGTTACAGTGAGTCCTGTACGTCAGACTCGGGTCTGTAAGATGCACTTTAGAATCACCCAGGGGGAAAAAACCAACCATGTTTTTCCAATATGGGTCAGAAACACTAATTAGCTGGAATTGTTTCTCATGATCAGTAACTCAGCAGTTCTCCTGCTTCTGTTAGAGAACTGAGTTGAAGAGTGGTTGCATTAAAATAGCAACAAACAACATCCAAATTCTAAACACCAGTCAGGCTTAAATTTATCTCCCGTAGTGCTTCCTTGTGACAGTGGCGATGACAGCGTCGATTAGATAGGGCTGGCACTTCACACCGTGTGTCACTCCTCATTATCTGATGAGAGTCCCTGCAAGAGGCAGGTGCTGGGGAATGAAAGATTAGGTGCAGCTCGTGTAATCAGGCTAAATCCCTCACTACCTCCACTGAGCGATAACAAAATGTAAGCGGCTTTCTCCTTTCCACAAATTCTTCCTACTTTTGCCGTGCTCATGAGTCTGTGGGTGCCATTACCCCAGCTGTGGCTGGGAAACCTCATGGCAGAAACCAGTGTTTCCAGGATGAAGTTGGCTGTGGACTGCAGACCTGTATTCCGGATAATTTCTGTTCTCCCAGGAATACGTACAGTCATAATCATGCAGCTTTAAGCCAACCTGCAGAAGTGCCCCTCCTCCCTTCCTTCTGTGCAGATGTTGAAGCATTTCTTCCTCCGTTTCTGCAGATCCTCTTTAACTCTCCCTAATGGCTCTCACTCTCCAAAAACAAGCAAATGAATTTTGCGAGTGAATGAACAATGAAAAGGCAAGGTGTGAGGCTTGGAGACATAGACTGGATTTTGACACTTGCTGCATTTTTCTGATACCTCCTAGTGTGCTAATCAATGTTTGGCAGTGTGGCTATTAGAAATGAAGTTCCAGTTATGAGATCTAGCAAACTTCATGGAAAAAAAGACAGTGCCATCTTTCAGTGTCAATTACTGATGGAACTTATTGGGCTTTTTGCACACTTTGAAAAACAAATCACTCCTCAGATTTGAAATAAGAACACTGGCTTTTTGGGAGAGAGCCAGGTCATGCTGAGTAAAACTCAGACACATGGCTATGGGAAGGGATTCATGTAAGCTAGACACAGAAAATACATAGCTAGCTTTGGGTAGGAACCAATTACCACTTGCTGCCTTCTTGGAGTGTCCCAGCTAGAGGCTGTCTGCAATCACCTCTTCTATAGAGATTCTTGTGGGAAGTCATGAAAGTAGCCACTGGAGTCTGTGCATGAGAAATTACAGACCACAGGAAAGTGAGTGGGAAAACCTGGAATATTCTGTACTTGCCAGTAGTCACAGATGCAGTTATAGCTGGGAAATTTTGTGATGAAAGTAAGCATTTCACTGGAGGGCTGGGACATTTAAGAGGAAGAGGAGCACAAAATACTTCTATCAAACAAAACAGCCTAAAGCCAGTGAGGGAGAAGCACAGAGGTGTGTAGGGAAGGTAAAGAGCAGCACTATGGTGGTGGCCAGAGGCATGCAGAATCACTGGCCACAGTCAGCACCAGTGGGCACCCCTGCCCTGTTGTGCCAACAGGGTCCCACACCACTGACCATGAAGTTTAATCATGGCTGGATGAAGCACTGGAGGATGCACTGTGGAAGGTCTGTGCTTCTGGGAGCTGAGCCCCAAGCTCATTTTGACTTTTTTGTCTTACTAAATGTTTATCTGTAACACCCACATGGCAGCTGCTTGAATAGATGGTCCCCACCATGGACTGGTGTGACACTGGTGGCAGGCACAAGTTTAACTGCCTGGTTGAAATGCCTGTCTAAGCATGCCAACCTTCCCAGGAGCTCAGATGTGCCAACAGTCCAGAGACTGAAACCCAGCCAAGGGCTCCTGCTCCCTTCTGGTGTTCTGTATTTGGCTGAAATAAAAAAAAGGATGGTCCTGTTTTACACTGTGGAGAGGTAAATAACTACACATGGTACGGTGTTATGACTGAGCCATGATTTGGGAGGAAGAAGATTTTTCCATGTCATTCTGAGTCACCTCATTCCCCATGAGGCTCAGAGGAACATCTTCTCTCCCCTCAAGAGGCCATGTCCCTGTGCTCACTGGGAGGCAGGCAGGATTTGGCAACAGCTGATGCAAACTTTCCCAGACTCTGGGGAATAACATTTAGTCACACAAAAATCCCAGTTGGTTCCTTCATACTTAAATCACTGCCCTCTGCAGTTGAAAAGTTAATTTGGGAAAAATGACTGGATGACAAAGCAAGGAAAATATGGTAAAATGTTCTTAATTTTATTCTTAACAACTGTCGCTGTTGAAGTAATACTGGACATAACCCTTATTTAGTTCTCTACCATTTGATCTTCATGGTTATAAAACATGTGTTTCTGTGTACTGAAGTGAAAATAGGAGAAAAAGATCCACTGCTAGTGTCTGCTCAGGAATGGGACTTGAGCAAGAAGGATGCATCAAGTGAAATATATTTTTTCATAAATGGAAATGTCTTCTTTTTTTTTTCTTGCACTGAAATCCAGTCATTTCTACTCTGCATCATTGCTTTTTCTGTGTGACAATTGTAACCATTTTGTGTATTTTAGTGTTGTGCTAATTGCATCTGACACACAAAAAGAATATTCCCTGTTTGGCATTTATCAAATGTCACTGGTTTTCCAGCCTTGCAACCTGACCCATCAGCTGAACACCTCTGAGCTCCTCTGAACTCCTGCAAGGTATTAGGCCAATTACTGCAACCTTCTCAAGGCAGGAATCTGCCTCTCCTGCATGTGCAACCACTGTGATACCAAAGTAATCTAAGCCTTTGGAAACCATGCTTAGGCTAGGCTCACGAGAAGAGAGAAGCCACTTCTGCACTAAGGCATACCTGTTACTGATCAAGCTGAAAAGTGACTCCTGAAACAAACCCTGAAGCAGGGAAACATTACTGCTCCACTTTCCTAAAATGCCACATGCAAGTAGGTAGGTTCTTCTGATGACACGATGTTTACAAAGAACAGGTCACCACTGCTGTAGAAAGGCAGAGTAGCAAGCAGGCAAACAAATGTCCCAATGTACAAATCAGCAGGTAAAGCCCCTTTTCTACTGTCGAGAGGTGGAGTAGGCAGATATCCACCACTCAGGCCTTACTTCACTGCCGTGTCATGGTCGTAAAGGTAAATGTTTCTCAAGGATAAGCAATGGAGATGTTCAAAAGCCAGAGTATGGGAGAGGTAATGATGGTTTTGTCTGCACAGGAAGCTAAGTCTTCTCTCCAGATATGAAAACATATTAGATAAATGTGCATTTAACCACTCACAGCTTGAAGTATTTCTGCTACTCCAATGAGCAGTGGGTAGGAAAAACATCCAAGTCTTGAGCACAAGTCACAATGTGTTCACATGAAAGTCACTTTTAGAATAAGTTGCATGGATACACAGAATCTCTATCCCACAAACAGATGTTTGGGATCTTGAACAATGAGCTGTGGCTCAGCATCCATTCTCATTACATGAGCATGGAAGTCCCAGAGGAACTGGGAGCTGGCAGCTGTCATAAGCTCTGTGGCATGTCCAGTGGAGGCGGAGAGTCTGTGAGTTTCTAGTGGCCTCTTACAAAGCTGTGGAAGAGAAAAACAAAACCTAATGTGTACAAGAGACTAAAGGAGAGAGTACATTTTACAAAAAAATTCTGAAAAGGTCATCAAGACTAATTGTATAAAGTGGTTAGAAAAGTGTAACAGCTTTAAGATGCACTCACTGCTTCTCAGAGAAGGATGAGTATGAATTGGCTAAATCCAGTGTAGTGCTCTGTCATTCAGCTGAGTAAAACCCAGTTTTAGCCCAATCACAGTGCATGTGGTGCACAGGATGCCCATGGAATTGACCATGTACCACTCTGTGTGCATAAAAAATGGAAGGCAGATGAACTACTACAAAACTTGGCCACAGGTGTCAGGTTCTGATGGGTCTAGCAGAGATGGTCCAGCCAATATGTGCTTGACTGGCCCCAGAAGCACAAGGATTTGGAGGTTTTAGCAAAGCAAAGTTCAGTGTGTCAGTCAGACTGAAAATAGTCGCATTCCTGGCCTTTTCTTTATTCTGTCTTTTATTTTAGAGCCAACAAACACAAAGGACTCCTCTGTGTCCTTTGCAGGATTCTGACATGAAAATCACCTTTAAATCTTCCCTGCCATCTGAGGGAGAGGTAAAGAGGGAATGAAGGGACGGATGACATGTCATTGGCGTGTGAGGGAAGAAGTACCTGGAAATTGCTGTG